TAGGAACAACAGGTTCCACACTGCCCACCAGGGATTATTTGTCTGTCGTGCATATATGGAATTCTGCCCACCCATGCACCTCCCCACCGAACACCGAGCTATGCCGCGATTGGTTGACGATGTCAGGGAGGGTGGGGGGGAAGGGTAAACATTCCCACTCATCCAACTGCCCCCCCCTGAACGCCGCGCTGTCCAACCAAGTTCCTACCTGCCCACTCCGAAGGAACGTGCTAAGGGCACCACGGGGTGTGCAGCCCCTCCCCACCCAGCCCCACCCCTCCCACCCCCCACCCAGCCCCTCTCCACCTTCCCCACTCAGCCCCTCCCCACCCTCCCCTCCAAGCCCCACCATCCGACCCAGGCCCTCCCTCCCTACCCAGCTCCTCCCTGCACGACGGACGGACAAAATAATCCCCTGTGGGCTGGTGTACCAGGAGGTTACTACCAGTATAATGGAAGTGCCTAATGTTATTTGTCTCATCAGGCTTTCAGAGATCTCACTTTATAATCTATTCAAATTAACTCTTCCGTAAAAACCTTGACCTCCGTGTTGAAAACATCGCTTTAACTTTATCATATTTGTTGATGCCATAGTCAACGTAACAACCAATAAAAACAACCACAGGACATGATTGATGAACTTTACAAAGAAGGCTGCGAAATTGATCAAGACACATGCACAAAACAAGTCACGCACAACAAGTTTATGAAAATAAAATAAATTGTTTGAGGGGCAAATGGAAACCCAAAATACAAATTAGAAGAGAGGTCGGGCAAGAAGATGCTGCAACTTTCGAATGTATTTTCTGAAAATTTGATTTAACAATAAACACATAAACATAGAGAAAGGATTAACCATCTTAGATTTGCTGACGACAATAAAAAAAACTATTAACATTATAATATAACTTAATAAAGTTGGGCTCAAGATGAATAGCAAAAAAAAGCCATGAATGAAAGTTTGTTAAATGAACGAAAAACGTTTGGAGGGACACAGCTGGAACACACAGGAGACTGTGTAAATCTAGGCCAGTTACTCAAGGTGGATCGGGATCAACGTTAAAAGCAGGATAATAGGGCTCTGGGGTAATTAAATTTGATTATAAAATGCAACATATTCATGTTCCTGAATAAACGTTTTGAAACCGGTGCATATTACCCATGATACAAAATGGGTCAGAAACATCATCACTGACAAGGAGTATGAAAAACAGCTGAAGATTGTGCAAAGAAGCATGGAGATATGCGTGCATAGAATTGTATGTGGACCCGGGAACAAAGACAAACTGAAGACATCGCTAGAAGTGCGATAGCCGATAGATGAGACTGGTGATGGGATGACAACCAAAGCGAGGAACATGCCCAAGAGTACAACCACCATGGAAACGAAGTGATATAATCGTTTATGGATTTTAGTGCAAGACCATGAGAGATGGTGACAAAATGTCGAGGCCTTCATCCAGCAGTGGATAGACAATTGGTGATGATGGTGAGTGCTGCGTGTTCACTTAGCACGATCCCAAATACTAATTATCTACAAGGAGCCAAACACAAGAAACATTTATTTAATGTGAGATGCATATTAATTTTACCAATAAAATGTAACAACCAGCCAAGCAGAAGGCAGTAGATGGAGCCAGCCTGGCGCTGTCCACTGCCTTCTCAACCAAGAGTTGGCAGAGCAGCTGCTTGCTGTGTGGTCGTTTACAACGCTATAGCCACCAGTGTTTTACATTGGTGAGGAGTGAACGGTCCATGACACTGTTGCCTAAAGACCCTCCGGCAATAGCAATGACATTTATATAGACGCAGGTGCAAGCCCATTCAGATATCGTCTCCTGTGTGATGGACATGTGGAGTAAGTTATGAGACAATTCCTGTTACTAATTTCAACAGATAAAACCATAAGCACCGGATTGAAACCCAAGAAAGCATGCATCATTAAATTTATCACAACAAAACAAACATATAACGCACAAGACAAGCAATTAGAGCAGAATCAAAGAGCAAGGTATTGCGTGTGTTCAGGTGCGAGTGTGGCCCATCGAGCGCAGGCGGGGGGGTCATCTCTAGACAGGCACCAAAGCAGCGACTCATCAAGCACTGCCGACTATTACACTCACAACACACGCACACAGTCTTCTGAGTAATAACCAATGATTACAATTCATTAAATGTTATTAAACTTGATGGAAATATTTGCATTTAAATGGTGATTATATGCCTCAGCTACTCAAAACATTCAAAGAGCGCCCATAGTGGCAGCTGTCCCTGAGCGGCCTGCAAGTAGGAATGCCTGCCAGGAGGGGCGATAATACAGTGAGGGAAAAAAGTATTTGATCCCCTGCTGATTTTGTACGTTTGCCCACTGACAAAGAAATGATCAGTCTATAATTTTAATGGTAGGTTTATTTGAACAGTGAGAGACAGAATAACAACAAAAATCCAGAAAAACGCATGTCAAAAATGTTATAAATTGATTTGCCTTTTAATGAGGGAAATAAGTATTTGACCCCCGCTCAATCAGAAAGATTTCTGGCTCCCAGGTGTCTTTTATACAGGTAACGAGCTGAGATTAGGAGCACACTCTTAAAGGGAGTGCTCCTAATCTCAGCTTCTTACCTGTATAAAAGACACCTGTTCACAGAAGCAATCAATCAATCAGATTCCAAACTCTCCACCATGGCCAAGACCAAAGAGCTCTCCAAGGATGTCAGGGACAAGATTGTAGACCTACACAAGGCTGGAATGGGCTACAAGACCATCGCCAAGCAGCTTGGTGAGAAGGTGACAACAGTTGGTGCGATTATTCGCAAATGGAAGAAACACAAAAGAACTGTCAATCTCCCCTGGCCTGGGGCTCCATGCAAGATCTCACCTCGTGGAGTTGCAATGATCATGAGAACGGTGAGGAATCAGCCCAGAACTACACGGGAGGATCTTGTCAATGATCTCAAGGCAGCTGGGACCATAGTCACCAAGAAAACAGTTGGTAACACACTATGCCGTGAAGGACTGAAATCCTGCAGCACCCGCAAGGTCCCCCTGCTCAAGAAAGCACATAAACATGCCCGTCTGAAGTTTGCCAATGAACATCTGAATGATTCAGAGGATAACTGGGTGAAAGTGTTGTGGTCAGATGAGACCAAAATGGAGCTCTTTGGCATCAACTAAACTCGCCGTGTTTGGAGGAGGAGGAATGCTGCCTATGACCCCAAGAACACCATCCCCACCGTCAAACATGGAGGTGGAAACATTATGCTTTGGGGGAGTTTTTCTGCTAAGGGGACAAGACAACTTCACCGCATCAAAGGGACGATGGACGGGGCCATGTACCGTCAAATCTTGGGTGAGAACCTCCTTCCCTCAGCCAGGGCATTGAAAATGGGTCGTGGATGGGTATTCCAGCATGACAATGACCCAAAACACACGGCCAAGGCAACAAAGGAGTGGCTCAAGAAGAAGCACATTAAGGTCCTGGAGTGGCCTAGCCAGTCTCCAGACCTTAATCCCATAGAATATCTGTGGAGGGAGCTGAAGGTTCGAGTTTCCAAACGTCAGCCTCGAAACCATAATGACTTGGAGAAGATCTGCAAAGAGGAGTGGGACAAAATCCCTCCTGAGATGTGTGAAAACCTGGTGGCCAACTACAAGAAACGTCTGACCTCTGTGATTGCCAACAAGGGTTTTTGCCACCAAGTACTAAGTCATGTTTTGCAGAGGGGTCAAATACTTATTTCCCTCATTAAAATTCAAATCAATTTGTAATGCGAGCAAGGAAAGAGGGGGCGGAGTCTGGGTCACGTGAGGAGAAGGAGGAGTCAGGGTCACGTGAGAGAGAGGATTTAGGGGGAGAACCGGAAGCGATCTGGGAGTTGAGAAGGAGTGGAAACATGAGGAGGCCACACTGGGCAGTGGCGAGAGGGTGGCGCCATTTGCCACGTGGTGGGAGGCCACGGTACCGTCGGCCAGCGGTGTACGTGGGGCACAGCAGAGCTAGTGGGATAGAGTTAGTGGAGTATAGCTAGCGGAGGAGAGCTAGTGGAGTGTGGGAAGCTAGCCGGGCGTGAAGAGCTAGCAGAGTGTGCGGGGCACACAGAGCAGCGGTGTGGCTGCAGAGCGGAGCAGCGGTGTGGCTGCAGACGGAGCAGCGGTGTAGCTGCGGAGCGGAGCAGCGGTGTGGCTGCAGGGTGCACGGTGGAAGAGGTGCGGGTCTGAGTGAGGATGCCGCAGGGGCGAGAGAGACAAGAACCCGAATAAAGGACAACGGAGACCTAAACTGTCTGAAGAGTCCTTTATTACAAATTTATAACATTTTTGACATACGTTTTTCTGGATTTTGTTGTTGTTATTCTGTTTCTCACTGTTCAAATAAACCTACCATTAAAATTATAGACTGATCATTTCTTTGTCAGTGGGCAAACGTACAAAATCAGCAGGGGATCAAATATTTTTTCCCTCACTGTAGCTCCTCGCAATCCCTGTTGAGTCATTTGTGCGTAATGTTTTCTAAGACGTGACTCGTTACTCTCCTCCATCGGCGGCTTTAAGCTATTGAGAAACGTCACGCCCCCACAGCATGTTGAATGTTCTACTGTAATGTCAAAATAACTAAAATATGAACTCCAACTGATGCACTACAGAATTTTCATATCCGCAGGTCGTACGTTTCAGGAAAAATACACAAGGGGTGAAGTTTATTTAGAGAAGGTGTCCCTGGACAAGAGGAATTAAACTTTTAAATTGTAAATGAAAGCAGGAAAATATCATCCAATATTTTTGGAGAGCTCATTCCAGCCTGCATCCGATTCAGAAGTTCCCACACACATTAATAAGACCAAAGCAATGATGTCAACTAGATAGCATCCTTCCGATGTGGCGATTGCACCTACACTGGTAACACCTTGACGTGTTGCATGGCTCTGATTCTAACACAGTGCTATGTTCATGTAAAATGAAAATGTTGTGAGCTCAGTGAAGATTGAGGGTTGCTGACGAACCGGTTGGTACTTGCGCTGCACCCTGAGCACGTCCAGGGGGCTGAGGCCGCTCCTCTGGCCAATGGGAGCTTTAGCTGCTGTTGTGGGGGTGATCGTCTCACTCATGTGGTCCGAGGATGAGGCGTACCTAGAGACGAGATCAGCGTGTTACACACTGGACTTGAGTGACAGGTTACCACTCTAAGTCTTTTACCGGTTACTTTAAATATGTCTAATCAATTACTTCCTCAGATCAGATGGTGACCAATTGAGGTGAAGTGTACGGCAGTGCCAAACAAGAGTCTGCCGAGTTTGAATCTGCCACATGTACACCAATGTACCCTGGGACACAGCTCTATTACCCATGCCACCACCATTCAAACACTCAATTGCTTCCTGCCATAGAGAGAGGTCTACAGTATATATTTGCGTCCATGATTTCATGTCTTCAGGGTTGGTACTCATGTAGCTATCGTGTTTTCAGCTACTCAATAATGTGCATGCACTATAAAATAGACACGACCTCAAACAGTGAAACAGCAATGAATGGCATCAGGGCTGGTTTGTTTTGAATGTTGTCTACCCCTATGAAACCATGAAGCATGGCAATAAACAGGCATCCTTTCTGTTGCTTGGTGGTTCTCTAGTTTAGCATGCAAATGGGAACAGCTATTTCACAATAAAATTGGGCCGACCCCAGCTCTAAGGGGTAAAACCGTCTGAAAACTGAGACATAGGAAAGCTTTCTCTCCCCAGCATGAAGAAGAATCTTCCACAGTGATCTGTGCCGAGCGTTACAGCTCTCTGTGACGAGGGAAACCATGCACACCGAGCGGTGTTCTCTGTGATGAGAGAGACCGTGCACACCGAGCGGTGTTCTCTGTGGTGAGGGAGACCGTGCACACCGAGCGGTGTTCTCTGTGACGAGGGAGACCGTGCACACCGAGCGGTGTTCTCTATGATGAGAGAGACCGTGCACACCGAGCGGTGTTCTCTATGATGAGGGAGACCGTGCACACCGAGCGGTGTTCTCTGTGATGAGGGAGACCGTGCACACCAAGCGTTGCTCTCTGTGACGAGGGAGACCGTGCACACCGAGCGGTGTTCTCTATGATGAGGGAGACCGTGCACACCGAGCGGTGTTCTCTATGATGAGGGAGACCGTGCACACCGAGCGGTATTCTCTATGATGAGAGAGACCGTGCACACCTAGCGGTGTTCTTTATGATGAGGGAGACCGTGCACACCGAGCGGTGTTCTCTATGATGAGGGAGACCGTGCACACCGAGCGGTGTTCTCTATGATGAGGGAGACCGTGCACACCGAGCGGTGTTCTGCAGACTGAAGGAGCGCCGCGCTCATTTCTCAGTCTCGTGACGTGACTCTCACAGCGGAGACATCGATGGTGATGAGACCTGTACAAATCTCAGAGTCAAAATAGAATTTAGAAGTGTTGTACTAACATATATAAATATTTTATTATTTTATGCTGGTTAATGTTTGGTGCGTTAATTTGTTTTCATAAAATGTTGTTTCCTTGCAGCTTAGGCGATGCAATTCCTACTCTGTACTTAACGTGTAAACATTCTGATGAACAGTCCGTGGGCTATTTTAAATCAATACACATGATGACTTCCAGACAAGGGTCTGTTTCATCACCAGCACCACAAACATGAACTACATCATGTTCTGGGGTTCATCATCTCAAAGGCCTCCAGACAAATGTTGAGCAGGTAACCATGCGCAGGTTTTACTTTTTGAGACTCATAAGTTAGTTCCGTCACCCAAAGTGCGTTTTGTGTGATTTCTCTAAACGTTGAGTCTATTTACATGCGTGGCCTCGAGACAGATGCCGGTATGTTTATTATTTTATCATCCACAATCCTCCAAGAGAGCGCATGATGCCTGTGTGTAACAACGGGCGAAGCGCTGACATGAGTGAAGGCCACAGCCTGTGGAGGCCCACCTGCCGTAGTGCATGATGGAGAGGTAGTCGTAGGGCAGATCTTCTCCAGAGCCACTGCAATCCAGCCGTTTGAACTGCCCAGGCTCAACTGTAAGGAGGCACGCACAAGTAGCTCTCATGATTAGAAAACACTGCCTTAATGCAGGCATCTTAACAGTACTTTTAAACCTGTTAACGGTTCTACCAAGAGCACAGATTGTTGTGGTAGTGTTTGTGTCACGTAATTGTGAATCTTGCATTGCGCTATTTAGATGACACTGAATTATCTCCAGCTCAACCGTGTGGAGCAGAGCTTATATCCACTGCTGGCTCTGGGTCAGTGGGGGAAATTCCACATTTCTATGGTGGAGACCGATAAAGCAACGACCGTGGACTTCCCACGAAGTGGTACTCGTTACTGATTCTAACGAGGTGATGGGCCGAGCGGGAATCTGCTGGAGAGTCGCCGTGTGGAGCGAGCGTCATGGGTGCGGTGCCGCTTGGCCACATGTGAACGCGCGACTGCACACGCAGTCTGCAGCACAGCCTTGCGGCCGCGTAGTCACGAGCTCCGGTTACCAGTGGAGCTACCGCCACCTCCAAGAGATCACGAGTTAGCTCGACACGCTGACGATCAACAGACAATACAAGACACATATACAGAGGGAGCTGTGATCATAGAAACCAGCCAAGCAACGAGGCCCGTTTAGAGAAGCACCATTGTCTCGTCACTGACTGTGCTTGCATTGCGAAACTCAGAACCCACTACTCGCCCACACAGCTGTGGAGTTCCTATTAGCACTTATATACCCCGTGCTGTTCCTTACACGTACAGAATAGGTACAGGATGTGTTATAGGGAAATGGTAACAGTACTTCCCGGCAACCTTTACACACGAGCACAGCAGAACCTCCTGTGCACAGCGGTGTGCAGCTGAGAAGCGGCAAGAGCAGAGGAGGCCTTTGCAGCTTCAACCCTGTGGCACGGCAGGGGGCGCTGCACGAGCGACGCTAGCACCATGCAGCAGTTGAGCTCACATGTGAGATCCTCGTTAAACTGACGATACACTGCACGTCAGTTTGAGGTAGTGATAGTTATGAATAGCACGCTACCCTGTGTACCTTAATAACTCTCGTGGCACCACTCACGTTCTTTGATGTTGTCCTCGTGGACCTTGATGTGCTGGTCGCGGTCACTGCGGCAATGCTCGTGGTGGAAGCCGAGCGCGTGCATGAGCTCGTGCAGAACCGTGCCCCTGTCCACCTTCCCGGGCTCCAGGGACACGGACTGAGCCCCTCCTTTCTTGCCCAGGAACGACCAGCTCCTGGGGAGGACAAATCCCATCCACGTTCACGATGACCACCATGGCTTTCGTGACGTGTGCATGATGAGTCTGCATCGTGACCTTCAAAGTAAAGTATTGTGACCATCGTGGCTGAGTGAAGGGATTGTAATATGTACGTGAACTTATTTTGCACCATACTTAGCCAGCCGTGATAATCGCAGGTGCGGGTTAAACTTCAACTTCTGTACTCCGTATGTACTCCGGAGTGCACTCTGTGAGGTCCACTCAGTCTGTAATACTCCCTTGGCTTTCTGGGCTTCATCGTGCCGTGATCAATATGCATTGTGCTCAACAGAAGACAATGCCTTCATGAGATTCGTCCTGCACTGAGCAAATCAATGCTGCACTGCAAGATTTATAAAACAGCCATCGTCATGGCTGTGATTACTGTGCAGCTGCACACGTAAATTACTCTATACCTGGTTTATCAGATACATCATGCATGTGAACACAGGTATTGTGGCACATTAACTGTGCGTATTGAAACTATTACATTAAAATACAGTAAACCAGGCAAGAGCCAATTCTATTTGCAAGTGAAATCTCAGAAGCTGTAATTGCAGGAAAACCTCCCCTGTTCCATTCTGTCCACGGTATGAATCCTCTTATCCTTTGGGCTCCTCCCTGTAATTACGAATTTGCACTTAAATTGGCGAATTTCCATTTTGGAGAATGAAAATATTAGCTGCACAATCATATGTCATATGCAGATCAGGTGGGAAAGTGCATTGTACTACTGTGTAGATCAGAGGTCACATGAAGCGATCTCAGAGGTAGTTCTGTGATATCCACTTTTGTGGGCCATTCTCTAATGCGAAGAGTTGTGCTCCTCTGCAAGAAATCCAAAGGGATACTTTATCTCATGATGCCGAGAGAAAAAATGGGATTAAATTCGCAGAAAAACTTGGATATCAAAAAAGAATGGCAGATATTCTGATGGAATATTTTCTATTGCCATGCCCAGCTCTCTCTTTCTCTCCCCACACGCTCATCCCACGCACTCTCCCCACGCTCCCCTCTCTCCCCACGCCCCTTGCTGTGCCAACCCTGCTGCTCTCTCCACACAACGATTTCTCTCCACGCCGCTCACTGCTGCTCACCCGTCCAGGGCCTGGAAGTTGATGTAGTCCTCCTGGTTGTCTTTCCGGATGAGCCGGATGCAGGTTTGCTCTGCGAACTCATTGACTGCTTGCTGGATGTTCTCCTTGTCATTGGTGTCTGAAGATAATAATCACGTGACATTACAATCACATTACAGCCCACGGCGCCTGTATTATAATCACACGGCACTCGTATTAGAATCGCACTATGCCTCTATTAGAATCCCACTGTGCCTGTATTAGAATCCCGCTATACCAGTATTAGAATTGCACTGTGCTCATATTAGAATCACACTGTGCTCATATTAGAATCACACTGTACTCATATTAGAATCACACTGTGGTCGTTTTAGAATTGTTCTAGAATCGTGCACTTTCATTTGGTTGTGGAGTGGAGCAGGGAATGAGGGAAGGGCTCTTTGCAGACGATGATGGAGATGATGGGAATGGATGATGTTGCTTAATGATGACAGATGATGTTGTTAATGGGTATGATGACAATTAATGATCCTGCCTGTGCACTAGATGATGGTGATGATGGTGATGGAAGTTAATATTCGTAAACGAAATGGGGATGATGATGTCTGGAAATGGATGATGGTGATTGTGGAGAAAGCAGCAGGGTCAAGAGAGTAGGAGGGGCGTGGGGAAAGTGCGCGGGGTGTGGGGAAAGTGGACGGGGTGTGGGGGGAGAGAGAGAGTGGAGCATGGCAATATAATGGGGTGATGACGACAATGATGGATGAGGCTTAGTATACAGTAATTATGATGATGTCATTTGTAGCAGCAGCGGCACGGAGAGATGTGACGAGGTAGTCACCGAGAGAAGCACAAGGAAAGACACAATGAGAGATGGCAAGATACGAACAGAAACACAGAGACATGGCGAGACGAAGAGAGACATGAAGAGGTAGGGAGAAAGACTTAAAGATAGAAGCATTGAGGTAGAGACAGGTAGACAGGGATGCAGAGATACTGCCACATGGACCGATGCATATGGAGAGCTAAGAGAGAGAGAGTCTGAGATACAGAAAGACACCGAGAGAGATGCTGAGAGACTAGGAGACAGAGGTAAAAAAAAGAGACTTTTTACTTTTAAACAACTTTTATTGCCGCCAGCAGCAACAGCACTGGAGGCGATTCTGATACGAAATACAAAGTCACTAGCAAACAAATAACAAACGCTATAAGTCCACGCGCTGTGGCGCTAAATGCACCGCGCACAACACGAAAGAAAAGTCACGCGGTGGTGGTCATCGCGCACACCATGGCGGCGAGCGCTTCAGAAGGTGAACACGAGGGTGCCGTCCACACTGGTACAGAGGGCTTTTCCGGCTCCCCAGCGTTCCAAAAAGATGTGCACATCACCGACATGTGTGTGGTATGCGTGTTCCAGCCGGAGCCGCAGAGAAGAGGAGAGGCAGAGAGAGACACGGAGAGATGGAGAGGGCTCTATGTGGCGAGCCACGAGTGAGTGATGTGTGGATGGCCTGTGTAGAGCCAGCAGTGCCAGCTCAAGCAGCTCCAGACCGGGGCTCTCACAACAGAGACCCAACCTGAAGCCACGGCTGCCGGCTGTGTGTGGTGCACTCACCGAAACCAATGCAGACGTCGTAGAGAACGTAGACTTTGCCATCTCGGTGCTTGACCCAGTCATGGCTTCCATCTAGAAAATCATAAGTGGAGCCTAAACAATCAGGAATCATGCAAGACGATCCGACTTTTTTGTGTAAAAATATATAGATTGGTCAATTGCTTCCCCATTGAAAACATCTCACAATCACACCCAGTGATAACACTGATCTCAGAGCAATACAAAGCTTATCAGGGACACGGGTTCAATTCCTCTTCATGGCCAACATCAAGTGTCGATTATATCTATCAGTGCTGTTTGTTACTGGTCACTTGACGTTTTGGGCCTTTGGGCCTGTAGTCAGCTAAACGTATAAACAAGTTTACAGGGGCTGTTAAAGGATTGCGCTACTTGGCAATGCACAATGGCCTAATTTGTTGGGATTGTTTCGTTCGTATCACTAATTATTACGTGTTTATCTACTGGACCACTGTTATTAGCTTGCTGTGGTAATTATTATTGGAGTAAACACATTTTACTTGCTTCCAATGTTTCCGACTCGGCACTTCTGGTGTCAAACGTTGCGTCTCTGCCGCCATGGCAAAGAACGAACAGAAATCCTTGCAGAGAGCCGACTGTTTGGAGTGACGACGCTGAGTGAGGGTCTCGTGGCTCAGAGAGAAAGACACCTAACTGCTCTACTGAAGCCTTTTAGGGGCTTTGTCCCACTACCTACCGCTCATTTTCATGGATAAGCTGGAATCGCCATTGAGATGAATGGGGGATGCATGTAAAACCTCTAAGCTGTCAACGCAAGCAGATTATTCAAATAACCAGACGAGAGGCCCATTGAGAGCATCAGGGAGATCTGGTCGTGGATGCAAATTCTGCAATTCAAAATAGCGCGGAAGATGTGGAATAATTAAGACCGATAAGTTACCACAACAGAACAATGTGGGCAGTGAGATGCATTGCCCAGTGTGAGGCATCAACAGAGCTGAGAGTAAACCCACGAACACAAACACGGTGAGGGCGGATGTAGTGAAGCTCTGACTTTCACATGGCCCAACCAGTGGCTCATGAGAATTGAGCGAGAGGGGACGACTGGTGGGCGTGCGAGCGACGCGGTATCGCTCCGCGTGCGAGCAGCGCTTGGGCTCGAAAACACTATGAGACGTAAACGTTCGTTCATCGTCAAAGTCACCACAGCAGCGTCGCTCAAGTCTCGTATTTACATTTCGATCATCACAGTGGTGGCAAAGCGTTGGTATTGAGTGGTTCTCGAAAAACAATATTTATTTCTGTAAAAAACTATGTTATTTTAGATTTTTATAAGATTTTGAATGTGTATTTCATATTTTTATGAGTCCAGCCACATACTCAAGTATAGATCCGTGGCACACCACGTTGGTGTGAATGTTTTTGAATGGATTATAGCGACAACCCTCCGTGGTGCACCGCGGATTACAGGATGTGCAGTATGGTCACACCATATCAACGTGGATAACTGGAGTTCTGCTTTACCACCATTACTGACAGTAATGCCTGGCACGATGCACGAGCCATTGGCATACAGGTGCACAGGCCTGATCCATCCATTGGTGTCAGGTCCGGGTTCAGAGGTAACGGCCAGTCATTGACAGCACTTCACCGTAGCCTGCGCCGTTCACGTTGCCTACAGTGATTCAACTTCATGCAGAACGGGAACGCGTCAAGTTTTTATTTGTTCATTTGCACTCCGTGCAGATGTCAAAACTATTTAAACTTCACATGAAATCACACCACCATGTAAATAAACTTTCCATGGAGTTTAGCACTGTTAGTTTTAACTAGGTTGTATCACGCTTGTAAAGTGACTCACTCTGCTGGTCGCGATGGAACGCGTGCTTGAGCTCACGAAGCACCACGCCCTTGTCCACCTTGTTGGGCTCCAGGGCGATGGACCGAGCTCCTGCTTCTGCACTGGCGCCTGGCAGTGAGGAGTCCCTGTTGGGAAACCGCGTGTTTCACAGCGACGTCACTCATTGGCACCTCACAACACCGGGCACGTTTTACAGAGGCCACGTGTTATAGAGCACCACACTCTTGCACCAGTGACAAGGATCACTCTGTGTGGGGACAGTTATTTTAGTGTGTTTCAGTTGTGGGTATTTTTTTAACATTTTCCCATTAATAATTTCTCTCTATAGCAAGGGGTCGGAATCAACCTTGCAGAGATAAATGCAAAAGTAATTTACATTTTATTAGAAAGTCGTGTTGCTGTTAGGCACTTACCCTAGAAAATCCAGGAAAACTGATTCAAGGGTTGTTTAAAACTAGATGATATAATCCAGCCATAGGAAAGCCTTCACGGCCAATGCGATGTCACATTTCCTGCACACGCATCCTGATAACTTTATTATATGTGACTTCATGACATTGCTCAAAAGCTAACATTCATTGTCATCATCCATGATCAGTCAACTGCTGGATGAAGGCCTCTCCAAGTTAATTCAAGTTTCTGCCATCTCTCCCTCACCTGTGATGTCAACAATGCACGGAGCACCTGCACACGCGGTGAATTCACCGCTCCATCTCTGTGGCGGGGTCCCTCTCCTGTGTTCCCTCCCTTGGCTGCCGCTCGTTGTTATTTTTGACCATCAGCCGACATCCCTTCGACGACGCGATCTGCCCAAGTCCACTCACTTTTCTTGACTGGTGCTCTACCCCCTCAGAAAGGATTCCCTTCTCTCTGGGTCTCCTTCGCCTGAGATTTAAGAGTGACCTTTCACTTGGCTATCTGTGGCCAATGCACGGAATGCAGGATACCGGATTGGGCAGTGAGCTGCACACTCGACTGTCCGGCCCATTCCCCCAACACCGCCTCATTGCTGCCTGCTTTGTATGTCCGTGATGGTGGAGACATTTCAGACTGACGACGACTCTGGTCTCCTTGCTGTCGTGAAACGTCTCACGTGTCACAAGAGAAGGCTCGCGTGTCACATGAGAAGGCTTGCGTGTCACATGAGAAGGCTCGCGTGTCACATGAGAAGGCTCGCGTGTCACAAGAGAAGGCTCGCGTGTCACATGAGAAGGCTCGCGTGTCACATGAGAAGGCTCGCGTGTCACATGAGAAGGCTCGCGTGTCACATGAGAAGGCTCGCGTGTCACAAGAGAAGGCTCGCGTGTCACATGAGAAGGCTCGCGTGTCACAAGAGAAGGCTCGCGTGTCACATGAGAAGGCTCGCGTGTCACATGAGAAGGCTCACGTGTGACATGAGAAGGCTCGCGTGTCACATGAGAAGGCTCGTGTGTCACATGAGAAGGCTCGCGTGTCACATCAGAAGGCTCGTGTGCTCCATCCGTGCTGCGATGAGTAAGTACGGTGGAGAGTTTAGTGCAGTGGGGATGGCGAGGGCATGGTATCGTCATGCTGTCTGTGGTGCTACAGTGCTTACTGTGGTGAAATCTGTGGTGGTCTGAGTTGCTAGCTGTGGTGCAATCTGTGGTGCTGTCTGTGATGCTGTGGTGCCAACTGTGCTGCTGTCTGTGGTGTTATCTGGGCTGCTATCCAGCACACTGTGCTCCAAGCATTGACAAGTGCTCATGACGACAAGGGCTTAGGGCTACAGTCGTGGGAGCAAAGGCAACGTAGCAGCATGGGGAGGCCCTGGCTGCTATAGAGGAATTGTGGAAGTGAGACCAAGGCTCTGGGTGCTGTGAGAGCCCTGTGTGAGCTGCCTGTGCCAGGGCCACGTGGAACAAGACTCGCATAACGCCCGTGAGGCGGAGACGCACCTGCCCAATGCTCTGAAGTAAAAGTAGTCCTCCTGGGGGTCTTTGGGAATCAGTCTGATGCACGTTTTCTCCGTCAGCTCGTCACTGGCCTGCTGAATGGCTTCTCTGTCACTGGCATCTGAAAGGTGAATGTTTTGCACACAGTGACGGCGAGCGTGAGTTGCTTTACCTTTTCAAGAAATCGAGACACACAAACCCATTGGCAATACACGAACGCACTATTCACCACTCTGCTGAGTCATCGTCAAAATTTATCGTGATGAAATCCATTTAATATATTTGATCCTCTAAGCCAGGGGTGGGGAACGTCCGACCCATGGGCCGTATAAGGCCCGCAAAATGATTTGATCTGTTCCAGCCATCACATTAGGGGTGAGTTAATTAAATATTTGACCAAATATAACAGGCAAATTTTTAAGTTGATAATGTTGTATGGCCCGCGAATTATGTTATAAATATCCAAATGGCCCTTGGCAAAGAAAAAGGTTCCCCACCCCTGCTCTAAGCATTCGAATCTTCAAAAATGAGAAAGGAAACAGAAGACTGAAACCAGTCAAGACGCATTGAGTAAGAGGAGCATAAAAAGAGACAGATGCGAGACTGAAGATTGAACACAGAAGTTTGTAAAATGATTACCGAAATAATGAGAAAATAAATCAGAGAACCCAACACAAACATGAGTGTACAAATCATCCAAGCAATGGGAGCACAAAAGCAGACAAAAGGAGGTTGTGGGAAATTCACAAATGGAAGATGATGCAACCATAACTCGTGTTAGAGACTGAATCTTAAAAATAAGAGGAGGAATGTTTTCAAAATCTCTTTAGTAAAAATATATATAGACCAGGAATCTGATCATCTCAGAAGAAGATAAGGAAGTTCCAGATGTTACACTGGAAGAAGTTAACTTTGCCCTCCACAAAAGGGTAATAGGGAAAGCTCTTGGACCAGATGATCTAACTGTGGCCATCATGAAATACGCGGAACTTAACTGCTTCAACAAAAATAGCGGACATGTTCACAAAAGGTTTGCACAGAAATAACATAACACAATTTTGTAATGGTGCATCATTGAAACCGACTTGAAGATGTATAGGCCGACAACCATTAGCATCTGATTGCACATTCATAAATGGTTCACAAAAAACATTGACCACATACATACTATTAACCAGATATGGAAAACACCAATAAATTCCAATTACCACTGTGCTTCCCCTAAGTAGACTATGAAAAAGCAGTCGACTTTGTAGTAATGAATGCAGTCATCCAATATCTCCCAAACCAGTCTCAAAACACACTTGAATAAACGTTTTCTTTAAATAGCGAATATATAAAGATATAAACTCCACACTATCCCAGCATGAAACACACTTTTCTAACAATAACCTTGAGGAGATTAGATTATGACACTTTACACTTGATTTCCCAATGTTAAACAATTTCCTTTTACTCTTGTACTGTCCAATATAAGAGTAAGTCAGCTCTTCCTTGGGGAAGAGGCTTGCAATCGCAATGGGCTCCCAGCTGCTTGCTTTGCTGAGCTGCTTTCCTCCTCCTCACCCTCTATCATTTGGGTTCACATTCGACATCTGCTTTCCCTTGCATCATAGGCTCACTGACATGGCTAATGTAGATCATGAACCACCTGTTCTCGGGTAATGTCCCACAATATAAACCCCGCGAAGCGTCTCCCCAGCTGGACGGTGCCCGCTGCGCGCTCACTGAAGGCGATGGAGACGTTGTAGGGGATGTACACCTTGCCACTCTGCTCGGGCCACAGTTTGATTTCTTCTGCGGGATCTCCCATAATGTCTCCAGTCTTCTCAAACTCCTTTTCACCTATAAAAACAACACAGTATTTACAATTAAACTTACACGTTACAATGCCACATTGGTGACATTACCAAACGTTTTGCGCACAGGACCCATCACAATTAGACCACTGGAAATGAGGCACAATCGGCCTGGACGGCGCTTTTCTTGGCACCATCACCGCAGCCCGTGTGACACTGCAGCTCCAATACCGCGTGAAGTTACTGACAATGTGTGGTGCAATCACACATTAACGATGTAATCCTAGAATGCAAAGTAAGAACATTTGTTGAAGGAAAACGATTAATCCATCAGCCAACAGGTCTTTACATTCTTCAAGCCTTTGTTATCGTGCATGAAGATATGTATCATTCTATCATTAATGCTCGGAGTGCCACAGCAGGCACCACTCACTTTATAATTCTGTAAATACACAACCACATCAACATTGATACCTCATCTAGCACAGCAAATCAAAACAGCAGGATTGTTAAGTCACGTGCCAGGGGTTGATAAACCACATCATATCTACTAAGGAAGCACAGAAGTACTAAGTAAAATATCTTACTAAGCCTGACGCATGTCCAATTTGCCCTTGGAGCAACAGCCCATGTGCCAATTAGTCATAGAAAACAAGCACCTAAATTTTGAAATTGAGCTCACAGTAGACATATAAACTCATGTGTACACTCAGAAGTTATGTAAAGCAGGTTATATATGTCCAAATACACTCTGCACATAGAAACATTTGTCATTGAAACACCTTAAACCACATGATGTGCAGTGAACGTATTGTGCATGACCTTTGTTTTGCTCACATTAAGTTTTTATAACATTGCCTCAGAGGCGTAGCTAGGGGGGGGCAGGGGGGTACATATGTCCCCGGGCGCCAAGGTAAAGGGGCGCCAAAATGAGGCTTACAACGTCACATTATAACTTATTGCGGCGGGCGCGGCAGCCTGAAACTACTGCACAAATCTACACCTCAACCTAAAAGTGTATATATCCCGCCACACACAGCCTACATGTCATGTAATTATATTTTGGTACGCGCGCCTATTAAAAACTTACATGGAAGAACGTCCCAAACAACAAAAATCACAGAGCATTGTTTGTCAACTGTGACAACCACAGCTTAAACTTAGCAGGAGTACACTCAGCTAAACAGGATCCACTTGTCGTCACATTTTTTGGAACAGTTGAAAGTATATATTTGTTTTTCTCTCGTTCAACAATTCGTTGGGAAGAGTAAAAAAAAGCTGTGCCCATCACAGTAAAGCGGGAGTCTGAAACATGCTGGAGTGCACGATCAGAAGCTGTTAAAGCTATCTATGAAGGACTGGATGAACTAGTAGGGCTGCTAGACAAATTATCGGAGAACGTAACTATGACGCCTGAAACCAGAAGTGATGCAGAACAGTTACATGCATGCGTATTAAATTTTAACTTCATAGTTTTATTACATTTCTGGAATGTCATTCTTGGAAAAATTGATCGTGTTCAGAAGCGCTTACAGGATCCTACTATGAATTTCAAGGAAGCAGCAACTGATCTTGAATCTTTGGAGCATGAATTTGTCAAGCTTCGTGATGATTTGAGCCAAGTTTCTGTAGAAAACGCCAAAACAAGATGCACAGCCTGGGGGATCGATGTGGACAGAAGAATTATGCGACGTCGGAAGATGCCAGGAGAGCTGGCAAGAGATGCAGGACTTTCAGCAGAAGAAGAAATTGTGCGCGTTATGAAGAGCGTATTTTATCGACTTCAACAGGAGATGTCAACACGGTTTTTACGACTAAAAGACCTGAACACAAAATTTGGATTTCTGCTGGACGTCAAAACTCTTCTATCCGACACGGATGTCGATGCAATTCGTCGAAATTGCACAGATTTTGGAAATTTCTATGACACCGACATCAATGGCCACGAACTTTTCACAGAAATTGGAGATTGCAAAATGCTGCTCAGTAACCGGAATGAAGTTCTACCAGAAACTCCTTTGGATCTTCTTTGTTTTATTGTGTTTTATGGAGACGACATATTTCCGAATTTGCGAATTTCACTGCAAATTTTATTAACAATAGCAGTTTCAATTGCAAGCTGTGAGCGGTCGTTCAGCAAATTGAAACTTATTTTGTCGTATTTGCGTGCTTCAATGGGACAAGATCGTCTCATAGGAAAATGTGATTAAATGGTGGGGGGGGGGGGCGCCAATTTTATAGTTGGTGCCCGGGCGCAAAATATCCTAGCTACGCCTCTGCATTGCCTGCAGCTCATTCCCATCGGACGTTACAAAAACGGGCATCCGCAAATCTTGGGATGGTTCATGTTTCTCCATTCATATGCATTTGCTTCTCCAATACAATTTTCAGAAAATATTTAGTCATGTCATTGTGAATAACTTTGATGACATTTCTAACTCGCATTTTACTGTGTATGTTGTAGTTTTTGTAAAACAAATGTTGGAGATTAGATAACTGCATCGATTTGTACTGAGTTGAATGTTTTCTTTGTCTACAAAGGCTACACACAATTATATTTTAAATTAATGAGCCTTTGCCAACATGTGATTATCAGTTAGTATATGGTCAATGTTAGAGAAACTATTTTCTCCAACCTGTGTGTGCAACCCTTGGTTGACTGGCCTGAAATGTTTTTATTATTTATCCCAATGTTTGTGAACATTATATTGATGCCATGAGATGGTAATGGGCCTGCAGTTCTACAAGTCACGTTTACCACCAATTGGTACCACTACTTTGTTGATGTCCACATTTACAGTCGCCTCGCGTGTTACGCTCGTTTACGTAACACAATTTTGCATGTTAGATGATATTACACTTAATTTTGTTATGCGCGCACTTTTTTTAAATAACGCCCTCCAGCGCGTTGGCCACGGTGTACGGAACGCGCGGCAAGCGAATCGTGAGACAGGCAACAAAGTTCAGTAGCGATGCCCGAGGTGCACTACTGACGACAACCACAAGCGGGCCAGCAGCATCAGTCAGCATCTCCTTCTCGCGCGCCACTCTCCACTCCTCCCCTCCACCAGCTCCAGTACGCCCGCTCAAGCATCTCATGACGCGTTCAAATATTTTAGTTTTACTTTATTTTCTTTTATACATGTATGGTAGTATTATAAATATATGTACTGTAACCAGTGAAATATGTAGATGGAAGAATGAGGTTCGATAGCGTGCTCTCACTAACTCAGACCATTCCCTTTATTTCTTATGGGAAAATTATGTTAATTGTAGGCTATTTCTCAAGAACACAACCCCCACGTAAAATGACAGGCAGCTGTACCAGCAAGGGCTTTCGGTTTGTTTACACTGCAAAGGACATAATCGACTTCTTCCAGTGTGACATCTGGAATATCCTCATCTCACAGTTGGTCTGATTCCTGCGCTGTAAATTTTTGCTGTCGAGATCCGCATACAATTCCTTTACTAATTGTAGGATTCTATCTTTATCATGAGTTAAGGTCCCATCTTTATTCCAAAGGGCTACAATTTACGATCATTAAACAAAGAATAAATGCTAACGTGAGAACAAAACACATTTAAATACTTAGCAAAGGGCGTGTGGCAGTTATGAAACAAAACATCAAAACAAGCCGTAAGACCCGTTTCAATGCAAAAGCATGCCGAGTGCACACGCTGGACAGATACAGAATGTGTAGTCACTGAGGGTATCCGTCCGTGGGAGAATGGGGTGAAGGAGCTTGCGACCGTGTTGGTTGCGTTGCAGTGCTGCGGTCAACTCACCCGATTAAATGGTTTATCATGAGATGGATCTTACCTGAGGTGGATTCATGTTGTGATAGAAGCAAAGCGATCTTCTTCAACAATGTTATGACTTGCACTCGAGAGTCAGCAAATTTGCAAGACTCGAGAATCTTCTTTAAAAGCGCTAGAAGAGAAGGGGACCAAGTGACACAGTAGCATTATACAATCTACGTTACTGAACAGTGCAAAGTCGTTGAAAATGTGTCGTTTAGTCATGCAAGACAATGTTATATTTTCACAGTTTTGAGAATTGTAAATACGCTTGCTGTGTGTGCATGTATGCTATTGTAGTGTTAGTGTGGTGGCTTGTGAATTGCTTTGCTTAATACGCTAAGGCCTCAACATGTGTGAGGGTATCGTTCTTGTAAATCTGTAGATACTGTATTACTGCATGTTTTTTGGGGGGAAGGGTGTTGGGCTCTCGTGTCCGAATTAAAATATTGTATTACATTAATACTGTACAGATAAATAACACCCGTCTACTTAAATTGTACAATAATAGAGATTGATAACTAAATCTAATACAGACAATCAATACATTATACTGTCAATTTGGAGGTTTTATTTACCTCAACACAAAGCGTCATGGTCACTTGAGCATTCGTGATAATTACACCATTTAGGCGTCCATATGACATCTTCAACAAGTGGCGGGCTAGATGCGGTACGGCAATGGGTGTGAATATTTGCGCTGTGCGTGAGCGCGTTGAGAATCACCAACTATGCAAGTGCCCCTCCGCCAGGATGCCATGTTGCCTAATCGCGAATAGTTGCGGGAAAGGTGCAAACATTGAACCCGTATAGAAATATAATATAGCAAATAATTGAATTTCGCGAAAAAAAATCTGCTAATAGAAAGGTTTTACTGTACAGTTAATTAAATTTACATTACAAGTATGTCTGTCAACCCCATATAATATATGGTGCTGTCTGGCTGGACAGGAAGTTCCACGTTATTTTGTATGGAACATAGTTTTCAATGAAAAATCATACTTTGGAAATTGCTTGTATCATACCAATCCATCAGCTGGGGCTGCATTCAAATATAAGTAAAAAAAAAATCACTGAATACTACAGATAAATATTGGCTATTAGTTGGCATTTTCTATAGCTCAATGGTGGTTGGAAAACAAAGTATACAGATTTTAAACCTGGCAGGACACAATTTTATCTATTTTATTTGTGAGAAAACAATAACATTTGTTTGAAAGATTACTTGTTAGTGGCAAATGTTTAGTTTTTAGCTTTACTGCTAACACATTATCCCCAATTGAGGTTTTGGTCTAAAATTAAACTCGTTTTTAGTACAATTTTTAAAAAAAATATTTACCCCTGCCAGTTAATGAATTGTTACAATTAAATACAAAAATCCAATCTTTTTCGTCTCATATATTCCTTCTCATATGTTGTTTCAATTGTGTTGTCTCTGTTGTACAAATATTTACTCAGTTTCCTTAAATGTAACATGAGCATCGATTTGCATGGAATTAGTATATATTGTATAATAATGTATTCCCACACAGATCCTTGCATGCATCATGAGCATCAGAACTACGTTTACTCATGCAACGTTATCACGTTGGGGGAAAAGTCGTTTTAGTTAACTGCTGTTCTAATGGCCAAGTTTTGGGTAACTGATCAATACGCCCAGTTTTCTCACTGCATGTTTACGGCTGTCAACGATACACAACATTAAAAAAATCCCTAACGAACACGGCACTGGCTAGACGTGTGGAAATGTAATTTCTCTGTGCCCTGGATGGCCTTGGTTGTGTTTTGGGGCTGAGTGAGAGAAGCAGGGACCAATGGTGTTGGTTGTGGGGCTGCCACACCAAAAAGCTTTAGAACCAGGACTCTGGGGTAAACCCATACTGGCAACACTAATTTATCCTTACACCTTATTTACATTGGATTATCTTTACGAGTTATCATGACCCCGCTATAGACAAACAGATCGACACAACCGATGCATTTGTAATGCGAGCAAGGATTGAGGGGGGCGGAGTCTGGGTCACGTGAGGAGAGGGAGGAGTTAGGGTCACGTGGGGGAGAGGATTTAAGGAGAGAACCGGAAGGGGATCGGGGAGTTGAGATAGAGTGAAACTGGAGGAGGCCACGCTGGGCAGTACGGGGAGAGTGGCGCGGTTGCCACGTGGTGGGAGACGTCAACACCGTCAGCCATAGGTGTCAGACGCAGAGAGCTGGCGGGCTGTGGTAGGCTAGCTGTATACGGGGCAGCAGTGAAGCTGGAGAGCGGAGCAGCGGTGTGGCTGCAAGGCGGAGCAGCAGGGAGACTGCAAATCGGAGCAGCAGAGTGGCTGTGGAGTGATCGTCGGGAGAGACGCGGGCCTGAGCGAGGACGCCATGGTAACGAGATTCTACGAACCCAATAAAGGACAACGGAGATCGACATATGAGAAAGAGTCCTTTATTACACATTAACAGATAACTGCTTTAAAATGTCATCATGTGGTAATCCCAATGAGTGGTGCAGTCTGCTGGACATAGACAATACTACTGTAATAAGAGAGTACACCGATGGTCGCCGACCGGCTGGATAGGCTCCGCTGTATCAGTCATAAGCCAATCAAGTTAAGTGGGATCATCTGGGCCGAAGTTCAGGGGCAGAGCTCAAGGGTGCTCACGGGGAACCATCGGGAAGGTTCTAGAAGGAGCGTGGCTAGAGGCGGGGCTTGGCTCCGCGTGAGAGGGATATAAGGGGAAGCAGGAAGAGGCTCGAGGTCAGTGTGGGAAGTCTGGAAGCGGGACCACGTCTCGCGCCTTCGGAATGCCAGCGGCCACGTGGCGGTCCGAGGGTTGCCTCCTTGCGCGCTACCAGCCAGCGGTGCGCAGGAGCGGGGAGCGTGAGTGAGCCGTGCGGGGGACGAAGTCAACACACGCCGCGCAGAGAAGAACGGAACGGTTAATATCCGAATGGAGGAGCGTGGAGCTGTTCAGCCGACACAGATATAAATAAAGAAAGACAAGTCAATGTTCGTCGTTGAAGCGTTTTAATACAACTGGTGTCAGAAGTGATTCTTGGAGCCGGACAACTCGACGTACTGCAAGGATGTCCAAGCATCTCAAGAAGAAGAACCCGCCTGCACCGTCTTCCGACGACGATGACGACTCGCTCACCCAAGACCAGCCGACCCCGGGTGCCGTGGACCCGTTTACTGTAACCACGACTGGCGCGACCATAGCGCCGGGAAAGGACGTCGGGACAGAGCCGTCTTCGTCTCCGGGTGCGGACGACGGCTGGCGGCATGTTGCTGAGCAGATCGACTCTCTCCGCGGGGTTCTGCTTCACCTTGTCTCGCTGGTCACGTCGTCTGCGGCGCCGGGACGGCCACAGGACGTGCTGCTGAGTGGAGACGTGCAGAGCTCCCTTCGGGGGGCCTTGGAGGGTCCCCTCGTGCATTTCACGGCCACCATTACGCCTGCGGAGGGGCCGTCCGCCATTACGCCCACGGTGGGGCCGTCCGCCATTACGGCCACGGTGGGCGCCACATGGCGGGAGGCCGCCATCTTGGGCGCGACTGCAGAAGCACAGTCTGAGGCCCCCATTTCGCCAGAGCCGCGTGGCGCGCTGCCGGGTGTGACGAAGCCCGCCGGTGACGGGGGTGCGGGGCGCAGTCATTGTCTTCCCCACATCAAGAAATTCGTCGCGGGCGGCGACTGGAGTGCTTTTACATGGCGATTTCGAGTCGGCTTTTCATTGGAAGAGGAGGCTTTGAACGCTCTACCTACCCTCCTAGACGACGTGTCACTAGCGGTGTTCCACTCTATTCCCTCTGACAAGAAGAAGACATTGAAGGGCGCGTTTGCCGAGATGGCGGAAGTTTACGAGCCACCTTCAGACACTCAGCGGAAGTTTATGCATCGTCGGCGAGGGAGCAATGAATCTCCCCTTGCCTACCGGGGCGCGCTGTTGGCGCTCGCGATGGCCGCTTACCCCGACACTAGACCTGATGTTCTTGACCCTCTCATCTTGGGCAAGATGCTGGAACTGTCAAAGGACATGGGCATTCCACTGCCGGTGTGCGGTCATGAGCCGCTGACATCCCGATGGGCCGCTAGGTGCCTCGACGCCCAGGACAACTTGTGCTGTTGGGCGCAGATGGCCGCCTGGACGGGAGACCCGGGCCAAGATGGTGAACCGAAGGGATAGGCGCCATCTAAAGTCGTCCACGTCCCGGACGACGTGGGGGTCGGGGACCTGGCCACTGCCGCTCCTCGCTGGGATCCGCGGCGGAGACCAGACTCGCGCTGTGAGGGGTCCTATAAGTCGCGTGGGGCCGACGATGGGGCCACTCGGCGGGCTGCGGTGACGTGTTTCAAGTGTGGCCACCTGGGCCACTTCGCACGGGACTGCCGGAGTCGCCCTCGTCCTCCATTGCCTCCCGTGGCCCCAGCTCCGGCGCTGCCTCTATGGACGGACCACGACTCCGGCCAGGCAAGTCGGCACGCATCAGACAGCCGGCATCAATTGACATCTCACGCATCTTCCGACGCACGTAGTAATACACCGCGTCGCGATTCAGACGGTGCCGTTGGGAGTTCGCCGCGGTCGATAACACAATGGAGGAAATTGGCACGACGTGTTGCGGCGGCGGCGACGGGATCCTCCACGGTGCCGGGTTCTATACAGGGGGTAGACGTTCCAATGTTAGTGGACACTGGGGCGTCTGCCACTATTATTTCCGACGTGATTTTCCAACTCCTTTCTATCCCCACCTCATGGGTGCAGCCGGCTTTTTATGCGTGTATCGCTGCCAACGGGGGTAGTATGGGCATCATCGGGCAGGTGAATGCCCATATTGCCATTGGGAATGTTGCTGCGTCGGGGACGGTTTTGATTTCCAGGTCCCTGGCGGTGCCCTACTTATTGGGCACTGACTTTCTTCGTAAGATGCCTGTCAAAATCCTTGTGGATCAGGGATGTCTGGAGTTTCCGGCAGGTCGTGAGATGTTTTTTTTGCCGTCCCCGCTCAGTCGTCCTCCGCCATGCGTGGCTGTGCAGATGTTTGCAGATGTCACTGTTGAGATTCCGCCGGGCTCCCAAATGCTCGGTCCATTACGATATTGTAAACGATTTGGCGAAGCAAATGCGGCGGCAGGCAGACTGTTGTCCCCGTCAAACACCGCTACCATGAGTCGTGCTCTTTTGGGGGCCCAAACGATTATCCGTGCCGGTCAGGCCCCGTTTTTGCAGGTTTTGAATGGGGTTCCGGAAGGTGTTTTGGTCCCGGCCGGTACGGTCTTGGCTCATGCCACTACCGCCTTTACAGACCACGATGAGAGCCGACTTGGGAAATTGGTGGGGGAGACTCATCCCAGGGCGTTGTCCGACGATTGTTGGATCGCGGAATTGTGCCAGGAGAATTCGTTCTTGGCCGCTGATCAACGTGGCGCGCTATTGGTGCTGCTATCCGACTACGCCAATATTTTAGCAAGGATGACTTTGATTTGGGTCCCACATCGCTCGTCCCACCACATTGATACCGGGGAGGCGAGCCCTATACGACAAAATTCTCACCATTTGAGCCCCACAAAGAGGGACCATGTGCGGTGTGCGCTGGATGAGATGCTGGCCGCTGACATAATCTCTCCATCTAATATCCCATGGGGAGCACCTGTTGTTCTGGTTAAGAAAAATAATGGAAACCTCAGGTTTTGTGTTGATTTTCGTAGGCTTAATAAGGTATCCGTGGCAGATGCGTACCCTCTGCCACGGATGGACGATTCCCTTGATGCGTTGTCAGGGGCGCAATACTTTTCCATCCTCGATCTGTCTTCCGGGTTCTGGCAGCTGCCCCTCAACGATTCTTCAAAGTCAAAAACTGCATTCCGTATGCCTCGGGGACTTTTCCAATTTAACTGTCTTCCCATGGGTCTGAATTCCGCGCCCGCCACGTTCCAACGCTTGATGGAGCTAGTTTTAGCTGGGTTGCAATGGGACACGTGTCTCATATACTTGGATGACATTATTGTGTTCAGTCGTATGTTCGAGGAACACCTTTGGTGATTGAAGGCTGTTTTCGACAGGATGCGTTCCGCTAATCTCAAATTTAAACCTAAGAAATGTCATCTCTTGCAACGTTCCGTGCGTTACTTAGGACACATTGTTAGCTCCGACGGTATCGCCACGGACCCGAACAAAACTTCTTGTGTTCGTGACTGGCCAACCCCAATTTCTGTGGGGGACGTGCGTAGTTTTGTCGGGTTCGCGTCCTACTACCGTCGGTTCGTTCCACATTTTGCTACCATCGCTAAGCCTCTACACGTCCTTACGGCAAAGAATCAGAGATTTAAATGGGGGACGGAGGAGGAAGAGGCGTTCAAGGCCCTTTGTGATTGCTTGGCGACCGTGCCGACGCTTGATTACCCTGACTTTTCCTTGCCGTTTATTCTGGACACTGATGCCAGCGATACAGGCATTGGCGCTGTCTTGTCCCAGTCCAAGAATAGCGTGGAGAGGGTTGTTGCGTACGTGTTCTTTCTCCGGCGGAGAGCCGCTACTGTGTGACGAGGAGGGAACTATTGGCGATCGTCCAATTCGTACGCCAATATCGACCTTACCTGTACGGCAGGAAATTTGTTGTGCGCACTGACCATGCTGCCCTTCAGTATTCCTTGAAAATCGAACAACCATCTGGCCAGCTGTCTCGATGGCTCGAGACGTTGCAGGAATTGTCCTTTGAGGTCAATTACCGTAAGGGTTCTCGGCATAGTAATGCGGAGTAATAAGAGAGTACACCGATGGTCGTCGACCGGCTGGATAAGCTCCACTGTATCAGCCATAAGCCAATCAAGTTAAGAGGGATCATCTGGGCCGAAGTTCAGGGGCGGAGCACAAGGGTGCTCACGGGGAACCATCGGGAAGGTTCTAGAAAGGGCGTGGCTAGAGGCGGGGCTTGGCTCCGCGTGAAAGGGATATAAGGGGAAGCAGGAAGAGGCTCGGGGTCAGTGTCGGAAGTCTGGAAGCGGGACCACGTCTCGCGCCTTCAGAATGCCAGCGGCCACGTGGCGGTCCAAGGGTTGCTTGAGCGAGCCGTGCGCGGGACGGAGTCAACACACGCCGCGCAGAGAAGAACGGAACGGTTAATATCTGAATGAAGGAGCGCGGAGCTGTTCAGCCGACACAGATATAAATAAAGAAAGACACAAGTCAACATTCGTCGTCGAAGTGTTTTATTACACTACTACTACAGTATACAGCTCTAGAGGATATACCTGTCACATACTGTAATAGGTAAGTGGCAAGTGTCTAGTGTCAGGTGAGGGATAATGAAGCATCATGTGTCACGTGACTGTCACCGTAGGAAAGGCTGTCGACTAGTTTGTCATGAGAACGTACAGGTGACTCAGCAATGACAATATATTAGAATGGTTTTCATTTTTAAAGCTTTCCAACTTAGCATACAAGTGTGTGAGCTGTATCCATCAGTCTATCTGTTCACCTGCATGTCTGTGGATAGTGGGGGACCACAATACCTTTTGTAAAGCTGGTCCGATATAAATAAAGTTTTCATCTAAACTTGGATTACAATATTGGACTTACTCTCAAGAGCAGTGCTTCTCGACCTGTTTTGGTTACTGTACCCCTTGTTGAAATTTGTTTCAACCAAGTATCCCATTGCCTCAGAACCCAACAAGGTTCTGAGAAGTAAATGCATGAATGAACATCAATATTTTAACCAGTTGTCCATTTTGAGAAGTATCCTAACTGCATTCACAACGTAATTTGTTTGCGCTCGCTGGTTACTCTTGGAAACCACCTTGTTTACAATCGGTGAGTTTTAGAAAGGTATTTTATATCGTTCTAGGTTACCATACAGATTAAAATGTAGCCCCTGGGACATTGCCACATATCCCCAGGGGTCTGCGTACCCCCAGTTGAGAACCAATGATCTAGATAACCCGGCAAAATGATGAAAGGGTTACCTAAAAGTCGGTGATAAACTCCAGTGTTGAATCAAAAACCTTTTCTCCCATGGTGTCTCAGAAGCAAATGTTATTCATCATCAACCATGATCAATCCACTGCTGGATGAAGGCCTCCCAAAGCTGCTGCCATCTCCAATTCTGCTGCAATGTAACAATTCACATTGCACCCACACACGAGCAGGCTCCATGCTCCATCTCCACGGTGGGCACACTCTTGGGTGCATTCCCTCACTTGGCTGCCACTTCCTCAATTTAATTGACGATCGCCCATCATCCATTATTGTGACACATCCTACCCAAGCCCAATTACTTTTATTTATTAAGAGCCTATACGGTATGTAATCCTGTATCTGTTCTACAGGGTGTTTCAAAAATATGGACCCAATTTCAAAGCAGTATATTTCACGATGGCAACATGTTACAATCTCACAAAAAGTTACAAACAGTTTAATGAGGTATCAAGTTTTACTAACCGTTTTATAAATGCTCTATGTGCCCTCCACCTGCTGTACGGACAACATCGAGACGATAATTAAATTTGTCCCAAACGCCTCTATTCTCACGTTTTCCTCTGAGGTGCGTGGTCGCCCTGTGCTCATCAACAGTCTGCTTCCTCAAATTGTTGCTACCAACGAGGAATGCTCTTTGACATTGGCGGATCAATGCCAAAACGCCGTTGAAATGCACTCTGCACCGCAATTAAGGATTCAGTCTTGCTGAACTGCAGAACGCAAAATGCCTTCTGTTGCGGGGTCACCATCTTGCGAATGACTGAGGCTAGGGGCTGTTTGTGCGCGGGGAGAGGCATCTAGTGGTAATCATTTGAAACTCTATGCCCCGCCCTTTCAAGTGGTATGTTGAACTTCTTTCATACCGTACGTATCCAACCGTGCTAATCAGAGGTGTGTTAATGTCTATGATTCTAAAGCGTACTTTATACCAGGTGATACACATTCAACAAGCATATTTAAGGGGAAATTGTGTCAAAATGTGAATACCAGATAGGCATTAAAAGATGTACATCTTGACACTATCAGATCTTTTGGATCAAAGAGTTTAAGATGGTAGAGAACAATCAACTTGTTTACTCATCGATTACCCTGTTATTTATTTCTTAAGTGCACTTAATCAGAAAGCGTGTATGAAGTCATTAACGATCGTGTTTTCTATAATCCATGTGCGCTGCACTTCTTTGTGCCTCTCCATGTAATTCTAATCATGCATCTCTCCATAATTCTCTGCATATTTCTACATTTTTGTTCTATTTATATTTTTAATAATCTAGGTTTCTGGACAATATGTCCTCAGATAGTATTCGCCGATAAAAAAAACTCTCAAAGCACATATTATCATAACGTTTATCTTTCCAACAGCACACAAACCTGCTCTCATCCGCTTCTGCTTCATCATTTTGATCTCGGTGTACTTTGAATAACTGTCCCCAGTGCTCACACCCTGCTGTGTGTTCCAGCTGTGTCCTTCCAACAGGTATCCGACTGTCTAGTGAACCTGTTATACATCACCTTTGTTTTGCTCATTTGTCTTGAGCCCAACTTTGCAACCTTTGCCATTAAGTTCTTGTAACGTTTCCTGCTGTTATTATGTCCAATTTCCATTGGACATAATAATGGCTAGGCAATCAGTACATTTGAGATAGTTAATGATTTCCACATTAATAGTAATGCTTTTATTTATCCAATCCAATTTTCAGAAAATATCTTCTAATGTTTCTGTAAATAACTTTTACAAAAGCTCATCACCTTTTCTGACTCCCCTACACTCCGCATGCTGGTACTTTATCCATGTAATCTTAATGGATGTTCTAATTTTTTCTGAGTGGTTTTAATTATTTCAAAGCTCAAAAAATACAACTCGAATGTAATTGCAGAAGAGTGCCCGATCACCAAACATACCTGAACCGCCTTCCTCCTTAAACACTTTAAACAGCATCTCCTTCTCATTCTCAGGGTGATCTTGAGACAGCACGTCCAGCAGGCTCTGCAGGCGGGGCACTGAGGAGGCGTCATACCTGTGAAGCAGATAAACACAACGTACATAAACTAAATAACGTTTTTTTTACAGCTAAGGCCCACAAAGCTACATAGGTCGTTTTCAGAAGCGACCTGGTCAGAAATTATTGCTCAACAAAGTGGCTTATCATGTGGACATTTATAGCAGCCAAACACTCTAAATGCATGTTTCTAAATGTGGAGGGAAAAACCAGAGGACCCGGAGAAAAATCCACACGACCAGGGGAAGAACATGTAAACTCGAAATATACAGGTGTCAGGGTTGAGATCGAATCCACCACCTCCTGTATACCAGGTGAGGTAGTTAACATCTCGCCACTGTAATAGTGAGTCAGCAGTGGTTATAGTAATAAAATAACTGCAATCAAGCACAACACTAATAATGAGCACGAAGGCGCTTTTACAAATCAAGGAGTCTCCATGCTCACTTGTATGTATGTTGAACTTCCTTCGCACTGCACGTATCCAACCGTGCTAATCAGAGGTGTGGGAAAAGGACAACAAACTAAACACGTGGCAGCCATTCTACATTCCAATGGGTGAGGTCAGTGATTCCATACGATGACACAAGGGTACTCTTTTTATTGGCTACCGAGGAATGATCGGCTGATTTAATCCTTCACTTTGAACTGATGATTTTAAATATTTCCAAAGTGAAGAGATTTCTAAGTTACATTGAGCACATCCCATGACCTTACACACTTATCGAACACAATATGCTATCTCTAGCAGAGCACTGCAGAAGAGGCAGGGCATTTGCTTTTATATTTATCAACCAAATATAAGTTGCTGTTATCAAATGAGCCATCGCAGAGGTCGCCGTATTGAGTCAACGGTGAATGCAGGAGCTCTGGGGCCCCAGTGACGCTACACAAGGTAACGGCTTCTAACACCCATTACCGATGCAACAGCTCTAGAACCAAGGACAGGAAGGAGGTGTAGCAAGCATCTGCAGTAAAACCCCTTTCAAAACAAGGCGCATCAAATGTGCACGACTCTGCAGCAACTTGGAGTTGCAACGCAGAAGATTCCTTATAAGTAAACCGCCTCATAGTCATTCCAGTTACACCAGCTTCTGCGTCTTCCAATTCAAGACTGCAGAAACTGATCAGGGGAAATGCTTGTTGCTCAATAAATGTGCACGTTACACACATCATATCTGCTCCTTAACTTGACACCTTGAACAAGGCAGACTGCGGCAAGCACTGGCACTCTCACAGATCTCCACAGAGCTCCAGAACTACGAGCCTGGCCGGTGACATGACAATGCACAGAATGTACTCTATGGATAGACTCGCCCCACCAAAGGAACATGGGAGTTTCCATTTCTGGCTCCGAGCTGTAACAGACCAGCACTGCACTATGCTGATATGAATGTTCAAACACTGACTCGAGGAACAGGCTTGGCCAGACACCTCGTGTGTGGGAGTGGGTCGGTGCAAACAGCCCAAGAGAGAGAAACTCCTCACCAGCGGATCTCCATCAGCTCCTTGATGAGGTTCCTAAGGGGGTCCGTTTTCTCCTTCCCCTCCCGCCCTGTCAGGGCGAGACGCGGACTCCAGTCACGAGTTTACACAACGAGGGTTCGTCCACTTTACGATGCGTTACATTCGGTCTGCACGTCACCCTGGTACAAGCTTAACGGCAGCTACAGGGGGTATTTACTCTGCATTTTACCTCAAACACAAAATACACTGAAATGTGGTGCTGGAACAGCGTCGAGTGCTTTGCTGAGAGCGAGGAGGCGCGAGCTTTCATCACAACGGGGATCTCCCTGAAGGGGAGCGTAGCCACCAAGGCAGCCGGCACCGCGTGGTGTGAGCGTCACGGCAGCCATTACCTCTCTTCTTGGTTTCCTCGTCCACTTCTTCTTTTGTCTTGACAGAGGAAACACAAACACAGCGGTCACATTATTCTGTCAACAGCAGAACTTGTTTCCAGCAGTGTACACCAGTTAACGAGAATACATATGCAACGTTATTACTGCAGTCATAATGGTAATTTACTGGACACATAAAGCAGTGATAAAAATGACTCAACAGGAGCTACATTGCATATTGGACACTTTCTTAACACCACGACTATAGCCGGTCAACTTAACAACATGTCTGACATGTTTCATCGTGTAATGTGGAATTTTTTATATTTAGTATAATTACAATATTGAATATTACTTAATTTTATGGAAACAAACATTCATAACTCCATTATAATGAATAAATATGATATCCAGTAGATTGTTTTAATGACCTAAAATTTTGAATGTCACAATCATCCAAATTTTAGAAAAAACATTAAAGTATATAACACATATTGACTAAACATATAGCGAGTGTGTGTTTTGCGAAAGCGTGTGCCTGTGTGCAACTTCTAAAATGTGCTGTTTTATTTTTGAGAATGTTTTATTTTGTTATTTATGAATGTTTATATTTGTTAGCGTATATTGATAAAAGCTCCATTGTCTGCATTAAATCCAACTGAGTCAAATGCCTTTCCATGGTCTCAAATGATTTTCATTGTGTCCTGCACCTCTGATTCACACGGTTGGCTATGTACAGTGTGAAAGAAGTTCAACATACAAACATACAGGTATGAAGGTAGAGGGAATTCTTTAGCATTTTTCAGAATATGACCTGTGGCATGTATCACAGTAAAATTATTATGTATTTTTGTAAAATTGTATTTGAGAAACAAAAGCCAAAATATGTAGGTTTTTGTGACCAATATAATTCATAATAAGAGTTTTTTTGGGTTAGATCGTGTAAATATATAAATGTGTCGTTAAAACCCACCACCACCCGACACTACCAACTAGTAAGGGTTGTCACGTAAACAGAACGTGCCAATTCGTCACTAGTACAGCACACCGGTGTGTTGGACAGCCAAGCCACAACATTTACAATCTGAGTACGACGTTTGGCCAGTAATTACAACTAGCTTCATTAGGCGACAGCCACAGATTTGTGGTTGTGACAAACTGGCATGTTCTGTTTACGTGACAACCCTTACTAGTTGGCTGTGTCGGGTGGTGGCAGGTTTTAACGACACATTAATATATTTACGTGATCTAACCCAAAAAAAACTATTATATAAAAGCCAAAATGTTGTTATTATTATCTATGGTACCTTTTTGGCAGTATCAAAAATTATGAAAAATAATAATAGATTTTACCCTTTATGGTAATAAAACAGGTGTTGTTTTTTCTTGCTGTGGTTGTCCCACCTGATGACGATTGCTTGTGTTGCGGTAGAAACGTCGTGATCTATAATTTTTCTACCTACGTGACTTTACCGAAATAACCAAAGAGTATGGATTCCTGCAGTCACGAAAGCTTCAAATCAAGATTGAGGTGTTGAGATGTTCAAACACCAAAGAGATACCTTTTGCAAGGCATCAAGTTTGCATTATCCACACGTACTTGTGGCAAACAAACATGCATTGACTTTGAAACTGATTGGCCTACACCAGAGACAGCCTTCTGTATGGCCTTGCCTTTCATCATTGCTTTGGACATATCCAGTTTGTATGGGGTTTTTAAGCTATTGGAGGAAACTGGAGAACCCAGAGGAATGTATATAAACTCCACATGGAAAGTTGGGAATCAAACCCAGGGCCTTCTTGCAGCGAGGTATAATTGTGACTTCTGCACCACACTGTAGAAAATATATTAAATCCCAGATTTGCTGATGACATCGTGATGATGACAACCAATGGAAGTGAAGTACAGGGAATGACAGAAGAACCTGATTAGGAAGGCTGTGAGTGGTCAAGATAAATATGAGCAACCAAATGTCACGTGCAACAAGTTCCCTAAACAACTGGAAACAGCTGTTGGAAGAAAACAAATCAAAGTAGGAACACCTAGCGCAGTTATTGAAGGTGAATCGGGATCAACATGATCTAACAAAGAGGCAGACAATAGTAAGTTGTAGTGCTTCTAAAATCATGAATTGGACAACGAAAAGGACCATGCAAGACCAATGTGCCTAAAGAAGAATGGTGTTAATCAGTGGGTATTATCTGCTATGCCTTGTGCACCAGAAAAGTGGACATTGACAGACAAAATGTAACAACATGGAGAGGTGCATGCTTGCAACTCCATTCCGATACAGGATGAGGAACAGGGATTACAAGACACACGTGGACTGTTAGGAAGAGTGGGTGGGTTGAGGTGATGGCCGGTGAGACGAACGGTGGAGTGGCAGCTGGTGGAGTGAGCGCGCCCAAGAGGACGTCAAACAGAGAGATGGAGCGGTAGAGTCGGCTGGTGTGCAGCTGTGAGGTGGATTGTCGCATTGCGAAACCGAGAGAGACTGCGGCAGCTTGGCAAGGCCTTCACGCAGCAGTGGATAAATGATGGTTGCTGATGGTGATCAAGTATCAAACCACACTTTGTCTCCAGTTGGCATGAGACTGATAAGCGCTTATCAGCAGATGTTTTAAAATTGTTAAAAGCTTTGCATTACAAAATGTTTACTGTTCACGCTGTTGTCTTTACTGCACTGTAAAAGTAGGGAGCTGCATAGGGAGCCACAGAGTTGAATGTGGGTGCAACAGCTGTGTTTGGAAGCAGAGCATGGGAACCTCTGCTGCACCGCGTGGCTGGACGCTGTCACGACGATGCCATCAGCAAATAGGAGACGTTCAGAGTCTCTCTGTGTTTATTTATTCCTCTATTTTTATCAAATTCAGGTTTTGGGATAAAACATCTTCAATGTTGCTGTAAAGAACTGTGTTGAAAGCATCTCTCCTTGTCTGACTCCCCTTCTCGTGTGTGTTTGAGTAAAACCTCTATAAGCTGGACTCGAGTCAGCCACGATTCAGGTCGAGCTACAGAAGCTCTCTGAACATAAATAAATAAATAAACCCCCAAAAGCTCTGACTGCAGCCCTGTCCGTGCACTTGTGAACCTGCACGCAGTAAGATGCGGCATTCTGCAGTGAATTGCAACTTTTAAATCACTCAACGAGTAGGAGTTAGTGACGTTAGGAATCACCCGGTAAGAACAGGGTGCAGTCTTGATTTCATAGTTAATGTAAGTCACAAAGGGAACATCCCTGTGATGCATTGGGTAGAGTAAAACCCCAGCTAGTCGGACTAATAGGGGAGCCCTGGTCCGGCTGGCTGACAAGTCTGGCTAGCTGCACATACAACCATGTTTAGCAATTAAAATTTACGAAAAATGCGTTTTCAATGCTAGATATAAATCCATGAAAAAATCAGTACTGCATTGATGGTGCATTGTGCTGCACTGACCTCACCACTGAGTTGTTGTGAAGCCCTCTGAGAATGATACAGAGGACACAAAACCAGAGAGAGACAGCGAGAGACACGAAGGAGGAGAAGGGAGCCGGAGGCAGGGCTCTAGGAAGCTAAACCCAACGACACAACGCCACACAGTCACCAGGCATGTGAGAGCATGCACTGTGGCCATGTGCTGAGGTGGCACAGGAGGCAGCGCAGGTCTATTCTATCGCCTGCACTGGTCTGGCTAAGTGCAACATCCGGCTAGCTGGGAATTTACATTATTATAATTGTGTTTACACATATGTCTCGTGTTTATTCGTGGTGTAGTAACGGATTAAACATATTTAATTCCATCCCCATGCTTCGCTACAATTAACAAAGTGAGCCTCCGTGTTACCTTCGCCTTCCAAACGCCGACGCGGCTGTCCAGCGGCGCCTCCTCATCAGCCGAGGTTCTGCTCCTCCTGACCACCGCTGCCGACACAGAGACAGGACCAGGTGAGTGCTGACACAGAGACAGAGCCAGGTGAGTGCTGACACAGAGACAGAGCCAGGTGAGTGGTGACACAGAGACAGAGCCAGGTGAGTGCTGACACAGAGACAGAGCCAGGTGAGTGCTGACACAGAGACAGAGCCAGGTGAGTGCTGACACAGAGACAGAGCCAGGTGAGTGCTGACACAGAGACAGAGCCAGGCGAGTGCCGACACAGAGACAGGGCCAGGTGTGTGCTGACACAGAGACAGGGCCAGGTGAGTGCTGACACAGAGACAGGGCCAGGTGAGTGCTGACACAGAGACAGGGCCAGGTGAGTGCTGACACAGAGACAGGGCCAGGTGAGTGCTGACACACAGACAGGGCCAGGTGAGTGGTGACACAGAGACAGGGCCAGGTGAGTGCTGACACAGAGACAGGGCCAGGTGAGTGCTGACACACAGACAGGGCCAGGTGAGCGCACACGAGGGAGGGAGGGCGCCCAACAACTCCACGGCACCACGCACGGCTACGGAGCGATGTCTGAATTTCACGCAGCCAGAATTCCTCACGCCACTAAGAAGCTTCCATAGCAATATCCAACACACATCCAACAATGGATTCCCTTCTCAGCAGAGATCTTACAAACAGCCTGGGGAAGTCGAGGTATATTGTCTCTTGTCAACAACGTATCCATAATCAGAATCACCACAGTAAACTCTGTTGGGTTTTAGTCACTTATGTCAATCATACTATGGTGGGTGTGCCACAATATACAAGACAGGATCATATAAAAAAAAACATTCATATTTGGTTTAAACCAATGGCAATAGTGAAAAATGTGACTTCCCAGTTTGGGTATGGTTGTGGAAGGGAATCTTGCATTGATTCAGGGTTGGAGTCACCGTGGAACCAGAGAGAATACTACAGAAGGATGGACGCACAGCTCATCACGAGACCCCCGGTCCTCACTAAAACCCAACACAGAGGCCAACGGCGTAAACCATGCGGCCCAACCTGCAGGAGCGGCGTGCACCTCCGCCTCGTAGCCGTACAGCTTCTGCACCTTGACCACGTCGCAGGGACTCAGCGAGTTGCTCTGTCCCATGTGCAGCATGGACAGAACGTTCCTGGGGATGATCGTTGGGTTGCGCTCATCCACAGAGGCTGCCAACCTGCAAGATACACGTGCTCAGCCTGCATTCATAGCAACAACCACAGCTATATACACACGCACTCATACACACAGCCTACATAAACCCACTCATACATACAGCCTACATAGCACACTCATACACACAGCCTATACACACACAGCCTAATATACCCACTCATACACAGCCTACATAGCACACTCATATATAGCCTACATACACACAGCCTACATAAACACAGCCTAATAAACCCACGCATACACACAGCCTACATAGCACACTCATATACAGCCTACATACACAGACTACAACGCCTACTCATGCACACAGACGACATAGCACACTCATGCACATAGCCTACATAAACACAACAACACCCGCCATTCGTCACTAAGTGGTGATAACGTCACCATGGAGCTTGTGCCAGGCCAGGTGCACTTTGAGGCTATGTGAAGTGTCGAAGGCTCACTGACAGGAGGTCACGGGATAGACCCAGGTACCATGGGTTGGCTGACTGAGATGACTGGCAGATGCACCACCTGTGCCCCCTACTGTGCCAACTTGCTGCATTTTAGCTGCTCGTTGTTGTGAGCGACGCTCCTCTGCCCTCCGTTTTTATTGGAGGGCGACTGCCTCCAACTGACCAATAATGTTCTGCAAAAACCTCCTCCATAGATGCCGATCTTGACACTGCTGGTGAACTTTCAAGTCTCCGGCAAGTTCTCTCAGCTCCACATCTTTCTGTGCTGCCTCAGTTCATCTCTTTTCCAACCTGTGTCGCACCCATTTAGCCCCCTCTATCCAGGCAAACAGAAGCTGCTTGGGCATGCGGTGGATGGTCAACGCAGCCTCGCCTGCCGGAGGACTGTGTCCAGATATGGAGTAATGTTACACGCACACACACGTACATGCTGTAGTGCATGATGGAGCTGCAGTCGTAGGGTGCTGCCAAATCCTGTTCGTTTGATTTGATGTCCACAATCTGATCTCTCCATTCTGTAAACAATAAGACAAGCACGTGGTGTGCAGCATCACATTGCTAATGTCACTACCACAGTACAACACCTGTAACTGGTCCTCTAGCATTACTCAGCATCTTGGTTTCACTACCACAGTACAGCACCTGAATGTTCCTTCAGCATTACTCGGCATTATTGTAATTGAAAACTATTTCTACATTCAGACTGCAGGGTGTGTTTATTCCAGCTGCGCTTTATTTAACCTGGTTGCCAAATCGCCACAATGTGCCCACTCCTATCAGCTCTCAGAAGCTAAGTTAGGCTCAAGGCTTGGATAGTGCTTGGGATGTGTGACGACCACGCATCCAACAGGTGCAGAAGGCATTGTGGGGAGCAGAGGGCAGTGCAGCACAATGCACTGTGGTTCTGTACTCCATCCCCTTCACTAACCCGCCAGGCCAGCATTGTGAAGTTTGGTGAAATAACCTCCATGGCCAATAGGACACAGGGAGACCCTCATCTAGCAGTGGACTGTCTCATGTATAACATCATAGATCCATTATTTATTTACTAACATACTTTATTTAACCATCAGATGGATTATTTCTGCCTGTCTTTTATGGATTTTTGAAAGATCATAGAGACTCGAGACAGCATCTGAGTGGTCTCTATGTAAGACAGCACCACGATTTGTCATCTCTTGCTGTGTTCTCTCTTTAGCCACATGAGTGCCCAATGAGATTCATGTAACTATGAAACTAGGATGTATTTAAACTTGTATTAAATCTTCTTCTTCCTAGCGTTGTTCCCGCTGTGGCGCAGGGTCCGCTTTTCGGCATTGTCTTCTCCATTTGGCTCGGTCCAGGGCATCTTCAGGGGATGCGTTGACCGTCTTCATGTCTTCCTTTATTCGGTCCATCCATCGCTTCTTCGGACGTCCGCGTGGACGGCGGCCCTCTGGCTCAATACGCACGGCAGTCTTGGCCACTGATGACTCTTCACTTCGCATCACATGGCCGTACCACCGAAGCCTTGCCTCAAGCATCTTGTCCACAATGGGGGCCACACCAAGTCGCTTCCGAACGTCTTCGTTCCTGACACGATCCCATCGAGTGAGCCCGAGGCTCCATCTGAGCATCCTCATCTCCATGGTGTGGAGAGCTTGTTCGTGTACAGTTGTGGCTGGCCAGCACTCGGATCCATAGAGTGCCACCGGTCGGACGATGGTCTTGTATATTTTTCCCTTCAGCCTATCCGGCATTTTCCGATCACAGATGACTCCGGTGACTTGCCTCCATTTCACCCACGCCGCATTGACTCGTGACCTCACATCAGTCGTGATGCTACCATCTGAGCTGATGGTGGAGCCCAGGTACTTAAAGTCCGTCACTTTCTTCAGATCTTCTCCGTCAATACTGATGGTGCCGTCGGTTTGGGGGCCACACTCCATATACTCCGTCTTTTTGATGTTGAACCTCATCCCGTTTTCGTCCAAACGTTCCTTCCACAGGCGCGTTTGTCTTTCCACTTCTCCTCTCGCTTCATCTGAGAGGAGGACATCATCCGCGTAGAGAATTGACCATGGAAGGGGCGTGTGCAGGTCGGCAGTGATCGTGTCCATGCACAGGATAAACAGGAGTGGTGACAGGGCCGATCCTTGGTGCACTCCAACGCTGATGGGAAATGGCGGTGATATGCCCACTGCACACCTGACTGCACTGGTGACGTTCTTGTATAGGAGTTGCACCCAATGCACGTAGGTTTCAGGGACTCCATGGGATCGAAGCGAGTGCCAGATGAGGTCGTGGGGGACCCTGTCAAATGCCTTTTCAAGGTCGAGGAACGACACGTGCACAGCTTTGTTCTTCTCTCTGTGCCTCTCCAGCAGGAGCCTCGCCGCGAATATGGCATCCGTAGTGCCACATCCTTTGACGAAGCCGCATTGGTTGGGTGATAGGGTGATGATGTTTCTAATCCTCGTGTCCAAAACTCGCTCAAAGATCTTCATCGCATGACACAGGAGCCTGATTGGCCTGTAATTCGAGCATTCTGCCACGTCCCCTTTACCCTTCCAAATTGGAACCGTCGTGCTGGTCGACCAGGCTTCTGGGACCTCACTGGTGCTCGTGATGGTGCTGAAGAGCTGGGTAAGGAGGGCAGCACCCTGCCTGCCAAGGATCTTCCAGGCCTCAGCAGGGATAAACTTGTATTAAATCATTGTGTTTAATCGTCTATAACTGTTTCCATTATTTACCATGAGATAAATCAATTATATTAAAATCTCTTGATTAATGTCATTTATTTGACCACGAGGGCCTATTCAGGGTGCGTATTTCTCGTTATTATCGCCCCAGTGAGACGTTAATTTGCTCCGTGCCCTTTAGGGGAGCTCCACCGAGCCGGGCGGCTACGGTGCCGCATTCATGTGGCCGAGCAAGGCTGGCGAGCCGCTCGTTGAACAACTGCAGGGAGCACGATGCTCGTGTTCGCTCGCACGAGCCTCCATCGTCCCCGGTCCAGCAGCGCAGAGGCACGAGCCAGGCAGAGGCACAGGGAGGGTGCATTCCCAACACCTCTCGTACGCACCATCTTCAACTGGGTGTTCATGGGAAGTGGACTTAGGTGCATCGCTCACGTGCTGCTGCCTGTAAGGGTGTGCAGGTTACACAGACGATTGCTTGTTCGCGATGTTGAGGCGTGTTTCCACTTCCCATGGTTCATCTGATGTCCAGAGGCTGTCAGATGCTGCCGAGTATTGGCAATGTGTGCTGTGAGGTGTGACTGGAAACTTCATGTGCACCACCTTCCCTTGGATAATTAATTAGTCTATATGTTGAACGTCTTTCGCACGGTACGTAGCCCACCGTGCTAATCGGAGGTGCGGAAATCGGAGGTGCAGTCTGGTTTAATCTAGAATGAGACATTTTCCACCCTTTATTACCCCGACATTATTCACAGTATGTTATGTGTTGATTAAACATCTCTCTCAAGAAAATATCTTCACCAGACAGACGGTGGCTGCTGAGGGTGATGCTGCTGCTGATGTCTCTCACCTTCCTTGATGTTCTCTGGCACCACCCAGACGTGCTTGTCACGGTCGCTCCGGCAGTGCTCGTGCTGGAAGCCGAGCGCGTGCATCAACTCGTGCAGAACCGTGCCCTTGGTCACCTTGCCGGGCTCCAGGGACAGCGGCTGCTCCCCCCCCTGCTTCCCCAGCAGTGACCAGCTCTTGCTGAGATGCCTGGAGGAAACGAGGCATGAGATGTTTAAAATGTTAACAAATGTTATCTTATCCAAAGTAACCATGAATCTTGCCTTTCGTGACTGCAGTAATACATACTCTTTGGGTCTTTGGATAAAGTCACGTAGATAGAAAAATAAAAAAATCACGAACTGCCTCGGCAGTTCTCCCACTATATTTTTCACCTGAGGACGATTGCTTGTGTTGCGATCGAAACGTCGTGATTTTGTTTTATTTTTTCTGCCATAGCCTTATTTAAAACTTGAGTAATTACTACTGCCGTACAAAGCACACGTTCTGCATAAGTTGGAGTACTGTTGTCATATCTGGGGTGCAGCACTCAGTTACTGCCTCGCTGCTCTTGTACACATTCAACGTTAAGCTGTCAGGGTGATTGATGAACCAGAACTCACTCATTCATCCACTCACTGGTGGTCAGTCACCTCCTTATCACTCTTCTATCACCACGATGACCGATCTCGTGAACTTCACTTATTGATTCCTCCACCCATGTTGAGACGGTTTGGTCTCAGCCACGCCGAGTTCACCCACCGCACTGCAGCTCACCACGCTTCTCTTCCTGATTCCTCCCTTGCGCTGCTCCTCTTGGATTTTGCTCCCGCAGTCACTTTCCCCAGCTCTTATAACCGTGCTCAATTCAACACACGTGTGAACGCTTCCTGTTACAACTGGGCCTGTGCTCAACAACCGTGTTAAATACATTTATTGAAGTTCCCACTATCTTCATTACTTCACCGTGCTACCACCCATCAGAGTCCCAACAGAGGGCAGTGAGTGGCCATGGCAAGCACAGAAAATGCATTGGTTCCAATAAATCCAAACGCAATTACAAATGCTACTGCAACATAAACACAGCATGGCACAGAGGAGAGTGGAACTAAGCGCACCCTGCTAAAAGCTCAAAAATCAGTGCAGGCCTTGTCTCGTTTACACGAGTACCACGAGAGAGTGTTTGAATGATGGGAGTGAATGATGGGATTGAATGATGGGAGTGAATTATGGGAATTAATAATGGGAGTGAATGATGGGAGTAAATGTTGGGAGTTAATGTTGGGAGTTAATGATGGGAGTAAATTATGGGAATGAATGATGGGAGTAAATGTTGGGAGTTAATGTTGGGAGTTAATGATGGGATTGAATGATGGGAGTTAATGATGGGAGTAAATTATGGGAATGAATGATGGGAGTAAATGTTGGGAGTTAATGTTGGGAGTTAATGATGGGATTGAATGATGGGAGTTAATGATGGGAGTTAATGATGGGAGTGATCATGGGAGTTAATGATGGGAGTTAATGCTGGGAGTGAATGTTGGGGGTTAATGATGGGGGTGAATGATGGGAGTGAATGCTCGGTGTGAATGCTGGGTGTAAATACTGGTATTGAAAGCTGAGTGTGGATGCTAGGAGTGAATACTGGTAGAAAATGCTTGGAGTGAATTCTTTGTGTGAATCTGGGGTGTGAATCCCTCACCCGTCGCCCAAGTTCTGGATGTGAATGAAGTCCGTTTCGCCTGCGCGGGGTTTGAACCGGACGCAGGTTTTCTTCTCAAACTCTTGTGTCGCCCGCATGATCGCTTCCATGTCATAGTCGTCTGACAAAAGCAGAATGCCCAAGTATATTTATTAATGGCACACGAGTGATTTGTACACTGACACAGTGTCAGTCACTAATCCCACATTAGAATCCACTCATATGCAGGGCCGTACCCGTAGAGCCCGACTCTGACACGAAGGAACTCGAGTGAGAAGCAATAGCTCGCTCTCTTGGCTTTGACATCGCCATGAAGAGCCTGGAGGTGGCTCGGTGGCTCAGGGGTGATGTCTCTTCACAGACACTGAGCCAGCACCACTGAGATCCTGGGATCCACACTGGGTTTCAGCCACCCTGATAAAACTGGGCTCTCAAGCGTAGTGAGCTCAAGGTCTCTGCCTGATCACCAATTACTGTCATCAAACCGCATCGCATTGTATTTGGGATTTGACCTACACGGGCATACATGGGTATATAACCGCAGTGATGAATGCAAGCACTCCTGTGATGTCATGAGATGGACAGGACAGGAGGGAGTGCCGTGCACTGTGGGGTGCAGGAGGCCGGCTGAAGGGGCTTCGGCTACCCAGCAGCGATCCCCCCGGCATTCCGTGCCACACCACTCCATGCCCCATGCCGTGCAGCGCCACGCTGCGTTGTGCCGCTCTCTACGACCGCTCCACACGGCTGCTTTGTCTATCAACGCAACACGCCAATGGCCCCTTCGCTATGCTCCTGGGATCTACACGGTCGGGTGGCCCTGTGGTCTAAGTGCATTGCACACAATAGGAAGCTTGGCTCTCAACCACAATCTGGTTGAGGATCAACTCAGCCCATCATCCCTCTTGGGTTGATAAAATAAGACGCATCACACGTGAGGGAATGTGGAATTTCCACCACTGCTCATTTCAGCAGCGATGCACCACCGGTCCTTAGAAGAGAAGGCGCTCTCATTGACTTGGAATGACGGGGATTCCTGCCTGCCCGACTGCTTGAGACCCAGCCCTGCCCCTGACCACGCCGGTGTCTTTGTAAAGCGCATCACAGGGAGCGCACTGCAGCATGGGGTTTCTGTGCCACTGTAATGCGCACAGTCGCTGCACGTGACTGTACGGGGCTGGTTCTCCAGACACATGACCTCCACTGAGTAACACTCGTAATCGCGTCATTGCCAATCACGTGACCGAAGCCGAGTGAAACTCTCCTGGTACACGGCTGGCATGGTGAGAATCGGCATGGTTACAATGGGCATCACGGTCTAGCGGAACTCTGGTGAGGCTGGCCACGGTGCGGAGCGGTCGTGTCTCCCTCTGGCGCGGGAGCCGTGAGTGGTCGTGTGATGTCATGAGATGAATTTACACACGAGGCACGGGACACACGGCCGCCTCACTCGCGCCTCGCTCGCTCTTCACGAGCGCCTCAGAACTCGCTCGCACCTTGCTGGCGTATCACTCACGCTTCACTGGTGCCTCAAAAGCATCTCGCTCGCACGTTACTCAGTCCTCACTAGCACCTCACTCACACCTCACATGCATCTTAATAACGCCTCACTGGCGAATGAATAATGCCTTACAAACACCTCAATCACGCTTCACTCACGTATCAATAATGCCTCACTCGCATATCAATAACGCTTGGATCAGTATCAACAGTGAACTGGATTCAAGGTGATATTGCCGTGATTACACTGAAACATAAAAAAGGAGATGAGCACATTGTGAAACCTGCAGCACGGAGGAGAATGAGCGCGCTGTGGTGCGGGAGGCACTCACAGAAGGCAGTGGAGAGCTTGTACGGGACGCACACCTGGCCACCCGGACCCTGGGGCCAGCGTCCCACTCTGCCTGTGGAGACGCCGTCCATGAGTCCACAAGGTGAGGGCGCTCCTGCCGAGACACAGTACACGGGGAAGGCGCCAGCACGCGCTCCAGAGCGCCGCTCTCACCACAGCAGCAGCAGCGGCATGGCGAGCGAGCGTCTCCGTGTAACGACGACATTCACCACCACCACAGCCCTGCAGCGCCCTCAACCAGCACAGCAAATCTGCTCCCCCAGCCAGCGACAAGGAACAAACCTGGGAGCGTGGTTCAAGGCTCACTGCACTCTGTGCTCTAGCCAACGGTAATGGAGGGGCAGACCGCTGACAGCCTTTGGGGTGGCAGTGGCCACGTGGTAGCTGCGCGAAGCAGTCTGGGTACTTCTAAGGTGTAATGAAGCTTCTGGTGCAGGAAAACGTCAGAGCAGCTGGAATGCACAAGAAGCTGCTTAACCCTACAGTTTGGTGATGTCTTTTTCATAACTCAAGTGCTTGAGTGATGTAAAATGTAATAATGTAGTCAGAAAAAATAGCGTGTGTTTAAATGTCTGCATAGGTGTCCTGAACAATGCGTCTGGTATTCAGGAGTTTTAATACCAGGGGAAGAATGTGTTCTTGTAGCAGGGGATAGCGCTTGAACGAGTATTGCATTCAATTTACTTTCACATTTTTCCACAACAGTGCAGGTTAACCTGGAGCCACATTTGTGTACTACAGGGCATCACTGCCTGCACCTGAGGTCGTTCTTTGCAGACATGGCTATCGCCTAAGTCAGCTGCTTATAACGACAGAATAGCCATGATTGTGAGTACCTCGCATGCTGCTTCCCTTCACTTCCTGGTGCAGCTGCAAAACAAAGACAGACAGCTGAGTCAACACAAACGCACGTGACGGCTGCTCTTGCTCAGAGCCACTGCAAGCGCTGCTGCAGGTTGTAGAGAAGAGGTGGCGAGGTGTGCACATGTACAGCTATCACTCCACTGCTGGATGAGGGCCTCTGCACACCGTGCGGGCTCTGAGGGTTATTGAACCAGATTCCATCACGCTGGTCGGTGTGGGTTGGTGAAGCATACACGTGGACACATAGAAGTACAGTACAACAATGGGTTTTGCTGCACTGCCTGTTGCTGCCCATGACGTAGCCCCACAATGAGGCACAGCGGCTCCTTATGAACACAGCCCTGGCGACACCACCCGTGCGTTGCTTGGGGTACCTTGGTAAACAATCTCATCGCGTCTTCCTTAGTGCAGGCACCAGCATCTCTGTGCGTGGTACCGGCTCCTGCTCGGGCTCCTGCACACACACACAAAAATAGAGACAAAGCTCCTCCATATAGCCTTGACAGACTGTTAGGGTAAGTGCTGTTAGTGAGCACCTATGGAGGCCAGAACGGCACACGAGGGGGTGGATGGCCAGCACCACGCCCGACCGCCTTTGTTTCCCTAGTGGCGATGTTTGCACACCATACCAGGTAAATATTTGAAGCTAAGTCGACCTAGGGGAGGCCCAGGACCGGTACAGATAATCATCACTGGTGTTGGCCGTGAGCGGGAATCAAACTCGGGTCGCCGGGTTTGTAGTGCAGCGCGCTAACCACTACGCTACCGCTCATGGAGCCAGGAGACTCTGTGAGCTGTGACTGTCTCACAGGGCAGCCACGCTGGAGCTGTTCCTTGGGCTCACTGACGCTGCAGTGGCTGCTGCTGTGGCTGCTACTGTAATTGTGGGTGCAGTGGCTGATACTGCTGCTCATGTGGCTCCTGCTGCTCATGTGGCTGCTGCTGCTGTGGCTGTTGCTGCTGCTGTGGCTGCAGTGGCTGTTGCTGCTGCTGTGGCTGCTGCTGTTGCTGCTGCTGCGGCTGCTGTGGCTGCTGCTGCTGTTGCGGCTGCTGCTGCTATGGTGGCTGCTGCTATAGTGGATGCTGCTGCTGCTTCTATGGCTGTTGCTGCTGTGGCTGCTGCTGCTGCCGGGCACCTGTAGAGGAGCCAGGCTGCGATGTGGCTGTGCTGGGCGTCGCTGTTGCCGGCTCTCGCTCGAACATCTCCTTGATCTTCTCCACGTCCCCGTCGCTGAGGCTGTGGCCGCCCCCAAAGCGTTGCGTGCTGCTCTTGTGCTTGGGGAGCATGGTCGCGCTCTTCCCGTCTCTGGAGCCAGCCGTCCTGTGGGCACATGGTGGCATCGTCGATACGTGCCGCCACAGTGCGCACGGAACTGCTCTAAACGGGACAGCGGTCACACGGCAAGGACGCAGCTCCCATACACGCAGCACAGCCCCGCTGCTGTGTGCGGAGAGCTGCACTTGGCGGCTGTCAAGAGAACGGCCGTCTCCACACACGGTGGCCGTGCGGTGCCTCCTATAAGGAGCAATGTGCACTTCCTCCAGACTTGAGCACTCAGCTCGTGCACCCTGCAGGCAGAGGGGGCTGCGCTGTGAGACGGTTGCACTGCACCAATCGACCCTGGTAATCAGCTGGGCCATGCTGTGGTTACAGAGCTCCAGTCGTCATGGGAAGGTCAGAGTTCTAATCCTGGTTGGGGTCACTTGGCCCTATCAACCCTCCTGGCTCAATACAAAAACATCACATTGCAAACATTGAACAGTGATTGCACTATGGGCAGACTGGCCCTGCCACGGGAATGTGGAATGTCACCATTAGCTCAGGGCAGCCGATGGAGATAAGTGCCACCCCGTGTCTCATTCGAGTTCGTGTGAGCAGGGAGAGGCCTGGCTGGGCCCGCTCTGCAGTTTGTGAGCGGCGTTGTTGTCGCCAGCACCAGGAGGCCACCTGGAGGCGTTCCCAGGCTGCGCCCTCCTTGCTGGTGAGCGCGGTCACTCGGGCAGAGGGCACGGAGCGCCCAGAGGCTCCGACTCTCATGCCTCGCCGCTCCCCTGCACTCACCGCAGCGAGGTTACTATGCCCCACCGCATGGGGGAAGGAGATCGAATATCCACAGCTGTAGATATATGAATGAGATTAATGCTATTAGTTAGAATATATTCGTGTCGACTGGTGGCTCACTGTTACGTGTCCTTCAGTTACCCTCCAAGGTACCCACTCTGTTCTCAAATGCATTGTATTATGTTGGAATGATGAATCAAACCCAGTTGCCTACTAACTTGAGAAGGGCTGGAGTAGAACCACTGTGACCACACAGAGGCAAACCTTGATCACGTGACCCACGTCAAGATAGTGAGACGCTTGCAGTGCAGTAAGCCCCAAGGGTTCAGCTGATCGCATTTAAAGAAATGCATCTGCTTAATGTATCTGTCTCTACATAAAAATAAAAGTACAGGCAGTGCTTGCTTAACATCGGCCCGTTTAACGTTGTTTCGCTACAAAGTCGCCGATGAATGACTACCCATGGATGTGTTTAACGTCGCGTGGCGTTGCTATCACATGGGTGCCAGCGGGCCACTACTTTCCCAGCCGCGTGCGGCTGCACGGAGTCGCCGCAGTCGGGGTGAGATGCGGCCAAGGCGGGGGGATGAGGGTCTCGATGGTAGCCGGGCCGCATCTTGGCCACAGGGGATCGTGGCCAATGGACAAGAATGGTGATGGAATGGCAGATAAAGGAGGGAACATGCCCGAGAGGACAACCACTCCGGAGATAGAGACAGTGAGATAAGTTCACTGCGGCAGTGAGATGGGTTAAAGCATGATCAGGGCATGGGGACGGTGTGGGGAGGCCTGCATACAGCAGTGGATAGATAATGGCTGATGACGATGATGTAAGCGCAGGCTTACAAATCCCTGCGTGGAGCCTGGGCCGCGCGACTCACGTGCTGTAGTGGGTGATGGAGCTGTAGTCGTAGGGGGTCGTGTGAACTTGTGACGTCTTCTTCTCAATCGCGTCCTTCCACTCTGAAACACAACACACCGGGTGTACAGACTCGCACAAACAACCGTGTTCATGGGAAATATTCAATCACGTGTCTCCCCCACGCATACAATCAGCACCCCTCTGTCACTTCACAGTGGTGGCGATGCCTCCACAGCGCCTGTGCCAGGCATGGTGCACTCTGATGGGAAACAGGGCAGACCCCGGTGATATGGATTTGCAGCCTGCAGGAATTCCCAAACAATCTGCATGCCTACAACTCGTGCCATCCACACGGGGACGAGTCCCACAGCTCGCTGGAGCACAGTGCTCACTGAGGCCAGTGAGAGCCTCATGCGGCACCAGCGGCAGCTTCTCAGCATCAGAGACAGAGAGGCCGCCCCTTACCCCATTGGGAGGGACAACGCACAGCTGGCTCTGAGCACACAGCGCAGATAAAAGCACCAACATCTCAAAAGCCCAGGGGAAGGGAACTGGAGGGCTCTTTAATGTCACAAAGTGCAGGGCGGGTGTTTGTCACCACAGGGTGAAGCAGGCCACACAGCGTCATGGCAACCTCCAAGGTCAGACTCACAGCCCCTGACTTCTTACAGTTAGAAGCAACCACACATCCACTACTCAGTATGTATAAAGGGACGTTCAGTAGGTCCTGGCCTGAGGCAGCTTCACTCTCCATGACCTTTACCTCTCCACGAGTGATGTTGGCAGACTCTCTACGATTCTTGTTTTGAGTTAAAACTCGCTCTGAGCAGGATCAGGTGTAGCACCAACTGCTGGAGCTGTGCGTTCATCAGATCTCCCCGCACCCCACCTGGATCAATGTTGTCGCTCAGCACCAAGATGTGGTCGTCGCGGTCGCTACGGCAGTGCTCATGATGGAAGCCGAGCGCGTGCATGAACTCGTGCAGAACGACGCCCTTGGTCACCTTGCCGGGCTCCAGGGACATTGCCTGGTCCTCGCCCTGACGGCCCAGGAACGACCAATTCCTGTAGAGACAACCCCAGCCTGAGCACTGAGCCCCATTCACTCACAACTCATCACACAAAGACTACCCCAGCCTGAGCACTGAGCCCCATTCACTCACCACACAGATACAACCCCAGCCTGAGCACTGAGCCCCATTCACTCACCACTCACCACACAGAGACAACCCCAGCCTGAGCACTGAGCCCCATTCACTCACAACTCATCACACAGAGACAACCCCAGCCTG